GTGGATTCTCGCAAATTCCGGTCTCTTTAATACCCTTAATAGGTATATCAAACTTCCGCTTTCAGAGACGATCAACCTCTACTCGTGGCTATGCAGTAGGAGCAGGCGAAGCGCTGGACCAACTGGCAGGGACTTTGAGGGGCGCAAGGAGGCTGGTGACCAACCGGCTCGCCTCTACCCCGGCCTCGACCTCACGTCGGCCCCGAAGCGCGGCGAGCAGCAGTAGAATCGATTGCGGAATTTAATTCGGGCCTTTCCGTTTTCACAAGTCTTTTCGCAGGCTTGGTTAATTTATTGTTTTTACCCTCGCTGTTGTAATAACCACTCTCTTTCTCACTCATCTCTCGTTGGGTCCATTTATTTCGGGTGTCTACCTCTCGCCTTTTCGTCCCACAAATTTGTGACTTTCCTACGTAAATCCTTGAACCCCTGACCTCATTTGGCGCCCGTTAAACCGGTAAAAACGTTGGCAAATTGTCCCAAATGTAATTTTTGAATTTGTATTGAATCTCGTGCGTAATAAAGCGTTGTTTATACCTTTTTTGAAAGCTTTAGTTTTTGCGGCGTATTTTCGTATTAATCCTTGTTTTTTAGAGCGGGCACTGTGGAAATTGCAGATTTACGCATTTTATTAAATTAGCTAAAAGAGCTCTTTTTGAATTTCTGAGTTTGACGTTGTAGTTGAAATTTGTCGAGTATAGACTTTTTTTTGCGTAGTTAGATGCAGCTTGGAATTAGCTTTTCAAACGTTTATTTACACCGATTGCCCCTTGGGCTTGTGCTGCAGCTCGGCGGAGAATTGGCGCTTCTCGCTGCTCATGTTCAGCGAGGACGTCTGACTCGGCACCACCCCGAAATACCGTAATACCCGTCGTCGATAGGCCTGAAGCGGAATTTTATATTTTTTCTCGCTTATCGTTCTTTATCGATCTCCCTCCCTCCCTTACTCTCTCTATCTCTCTCTCTTTCTCTGACTTACCCGAAACCCGAAAATGACCATAATTGCATCAGCCGGTGCATAGATCGAAATAAAAATAGGCAGCATTGGAGCAATTCGTGATAGGGAGATGCCTAGGTATTTTTTAAGGTTTGAATTACCGAATTCATTAGTCTATAATTAAATCACAATTTTACATTAATTTATACAGCCAAAATAGCTTATTGACCTGCAAACCCGCATAAAAATCCGCCCCACATTGTCGTCAGCGCCGGGATGTACTCGAAAATCAGGGGACAAATCGCCTAAAACTGAAATTTTGTCTCCAAGGATTTTAAGGTATACCTGAATCACTAGTAGCTTTAAAAGTTGCATATTCAGCGCGCGGCGCTTCTCGCTGAGAACGGAGGAGCGGACGAAGGCGTAGCTGAACAGAACTTTACTTGAAAAGCTTGAAGTTTCGAAATGTTTTTTATTTTTTGCAGCTAGCTTTTTTAGCAGTGCGAACAAAGGCGAAGCTATGTGCAGCGTCGGATTAAAAGGCCGTTCGCGAGGGGCGCGACCACTGCTTGGCACAGTTTTTTTCGACCCTATTTTTTTGACGCCATCGGAAAGAGCATGATCGAATTAGTAGGGTGGCACTAGTTTGATAGTTTAAAAGTTTAATTTTCGGGGTTAAACTGGACACTATAGTTGCCGACAGCAAAAAATTATCTCGAAAGTTACTGGACCGACTCAGTCGAAAATTTGCGACTGGGCCTGATTTTGGGTACTGATCATATCTCTAATACATTGCGAAGCTCGAAAATGACCGGAACGTAGGTGCACCGCGCACTCAAATTCGTTTTTCCGGAATTGCCGGAGCCTGCCGTTCGGGCGGGCGATGAGACTAGCATAGAAAGATGCGCAATAAAATTCTGCATCGATTGATGTATCGCTCATGACCCGCCCGTTCGGCAGGAAATCGCTATAAAGCATTTACTGCGCGGAAAACCGTCCGAAAAAAAACTCAAAAAGTCGAAAACAGGTCTATTTTGAAAATGTGAAGTATCAAAGCACATCTAGAGCTCGAGCTGAAGCCATTGCAAAAAAGAGCAAAAAGAAATTCGCCTTCTGAGAGAGGGCCGGAATTGAACTGGCGCGAGCTCTGGATTGGTACGCCGACACACCTGCAATACGTCTTCTTTCTTCAAAATCTGTTTCTTCAGAAAAAGATGTTAACGTCTCGAAAAACGAAGAATTTCTTAATTTTACGAGCCGACTATTAATGCAAGTAGGCGGATAATCGTATTCGCATAGCGAATTGTTTCTGTTGTGAAACCGAAGACATTAAAATGCGCATACTAGCGATATTAAAAAACCACGGCAATATAAGTTAGGAAAATGAAAAGAAGCCATTCCTTCCAAAAATGGCCTCAAAGCTGTCTCCTCTGACTTTCTTGGGTGAGTTTGAGTTTGATGCGAGGCCTAAGCCTAAGCCTCAGTCTAGGTCTTACGCCTAAACCTAGGCCAAGTCTAACTAGGGAAGTGCAAATAAAAAACCCAGCAAACCGCTTAGCAAAAATATGGGTCTGATAGAGTCGGCGACGGGGATTCCGAAACTGCAATCAGAATTTGCTAAACGCTTAATACAAAATAGTTATCAGCATTTTAAGTTTTGCACTACATTCTCCGCCCTCCCTTATGAGCCCCTCCCAAAGGCGGGCGTCCGCCTGTCGAGTGGTGTAGTGGCTAACTAGCATTGTCTGGGGCGGAGGGTCGCTGGTTCGCCTCCCCGGTCATGCAAAACTTTTTGCTTTTTGGTCAAAGTCAACAACTTTAGACTTTTTGCCGCAATGCCGAACGCGAATTGGGCAAGTGTGATCCCGGCCACGCAGAGCCAATTAGAGAACAGGATTCGCCAGCGCCTGGAAACCTTGAATACCTTATGTATCTATACCCTGTAATCTTCACGTATCGATAGATGCAATGAATGGTCAGAGGGGCAAGTGACATGGCAAACGAGTCGACGTAGACCTGGATGGCACGGATTGAAATTATGTCTAAGCCTATGCTGAAGCCGAAACCTAAGCCTAAGCCCAAGTCCAAGCTAAGCATAAGCCTACGCAAATAAACCCCTCACCATCGTTCCCAAATACGAAGCCCACCACCCGAATTGGTGCAACTGCTTGCTGAACATGATAAAACCATCGCCATCGATGTAGAAGCCCTTGAATCCGGACGTTCTGAATGAGGCTCCACCTACCGTATCCACAACACAGTGCACAAGGCTGTAATAGATATTGTAAAGAGCCACGAAGCCCAGCATCGGTCGATAGTTGCTGTTTTTGTTCTGAAAAGGGCTTGACTTACTACCTGAAAATCTGGCTGGTCTTGGAGCAAGCCTGAGCCTAAGTCGAAGCTGAAACGTGCCTCATGATCCGTCTTGATGAAGTACAACAAAAAAGAGTTGAGCACCACCCCGAGGGCACCATTTAGGCAAACGAGCCGCCCTTGCAATTCGCCGCCCATCATCATTCGGCTGGAAAATTAAATTAGCAGCAGATTTAGAGAGGTTAAATAAATAAAGCAAATCAGAAATGGTCTAGGCAAAATCTCAGTCCAACTGAAGGAAAACCTAAGCTTAAGCCTAAGCATCCTAAGCCAAAATCTAAAGCTAAGCCCAAGCTCGAGCCCAAAATCGTTCCTAAGCCTAAGCGGAACTTAAGCCCGGGGGTAAGCCTAAGCATAAGACTAAGCCCAAAAGTAAGTCTAAGCCTCAGCTTAACCTAGGCCTTATCCTAGGCCTAGGCATACGCCTAAAATGAAGCCCAAGCCTACGCCTAACCTAGGCACACGGCTCAGGTGAGCGTCTTTGTCAAAAGATGCGTCCGCACCCCGTTTAAGAAGGTAAAAACTCAAGAACTCATGCGGAAACCCGAAAGATAGTCTTGCAGAGGCTGATGCGAACAAATCAAGCAAAAACAAATGCGCCGTGCACTTTCCGGTCGAAAAGCGAGAATTAAGGGTGAGGGCTTGCCGGACGAAACGGCGCGGCTGTGCGTTGCCGAATAGTCGAATATTACGTCCGAAAATCGTTGACACAAAGACAAAGCTGAAAAGTTGATCCGGACCGCCAGTCTAAGTTCATTGGCCCTTTCTGGTTTACTCGGAATTCCTGTGCTTCCGTTGCAAAACCTCCTTCTCTGGCCAGGGACGGTTCTCAAGAAATTATCGAAGATTGGGTTGAGTGCCATGGGATGATGGACCATTGATACGGCTCGATTGTACTACGCTCCACTCAATGACTAACAAAGCACACAAAGTTCACAGAAGTTCTCTTGCCACATTTGCAAGCCCAAACCAACGCATAGGCCTGACAAGGAGACGTTTTTGAGTGTCGTCGGGACTTTGCCATGGGACTAAGCCTAACCTGTGCAGAATTTTACGCTGATTCCCAATATGGTAACCGTTTTTGCGGAATAGCCATTTCTCGAAAGTTATGAACTATTTAAACCTCAAAACAGCCCAAAATCGGCTACTTTCAATAGTCATAAAAGGCTTCAAAATAGGTATTAGACAAAACCAAATAGTACATCTTGTTCAGAAAAAAATTCTCTATAAAATAAGCTACTTAACTCAAAAATGTTGGAATTTTGAAAATTTTTGTAAAATTAGGGGCCTCCCAATTTATCAAATTTTTCTAACTTTTCAATGATTTTGGAGAAGATTTTACATTTTATAGAGAATTTGTTTCTGAACAAGATGCACTATTTGGTTTTGTCTAAAACCTATCCCGAAGCCTTTTATGACTATCGAAAGTAGCCGATTTTGGATTGTTTTGAGGTTTAAATAGTTCATAACTTTCGAGAAATGACTATTCCGCAAAAACGGTTACCATATTCGGAATCAGTGTAAAATTCTGCACAAGTTAGGCTTAGTCCCATGGCAAAGTCCCGACGACACTCAAAAACGTCTCCTTGTGAGCTCCAGCCTAGGCCTAAGGTATATGCCTAGCCCCGAGCCCAAGCCTACCCGAAGCTACTCAGAGGCATACGCTTGAATAATTTTCACATTCCTTTCTACCCATTAACGTCAAACGGATGTCTAGGGATTAGGCTTAGGCTTTAAATCAGGCATCGGCTTTGGGTTAAGCTTGGGCCAGGCTTTGTCTCGACATTTCTTGAGCCTAGTGACGGCATGCGCTTGGCTGGCTTGGCTTGGCTGAGCTTAGGCAAGGCTCCAACAAGCCATTTTTATTTACTATTTCGCAGCAATATTTATTCGGTTCAAAAAGCCAAACAGCGAAATCAGTACCCCAGGTTTTCTATGCGTCGTAAACAATTAACGATGGTAAGAGTGTGAGTCCGACTCGGCGGTAGATTTCGCTGAAAAACGGTTGAAATCTCGCTAAATTTCTCGGCTACGTTTGACTCCAACTGTCGATGTCATTTGGGTCGTTTGAGGGGTTACGGCCTTCGGGCGGATTCCTCGCAATATTCGGCGGCGATACACCTGGGACTCGCATTCATTGATTCCTTCTAGCTCCGAGAAAGAGAAAGAGAGAGAGAGAGAGGGAGAGAGAGAGAAAGAGCGGGGGAGGGAAGTTGAACTCCTTCAAGCGCTTGAAACTTCCGGAAGAGCTTTGATGATTTCGTGACTACCGTACCGGAAACCCAATAATAGTCACAAAGGCCTCCATCGGCGCATAGGCCGAGATGAAGACGGGTGAAAATAGGGAGTAGAGATCGCAGAGGGCAGGGGGCAGGCCTAAAAACAATTTTTGAGACTGTGTTTTTGGTTACCGAAAACGTACCTAGGAAGCCGCCGTACACCGTCATCATACATGGCATATACTCAAAAATTAGCGGGACGATTGCCTAAAGCTTCGCATCAAGTAGCTCTTCTTTTGTCCCGGGAGAATATTAGTGACATAAAGAGCTATACTCAGTCAGCCGAGCCAAGCCCAACCCTAAGCCTAATCCCAAGCCTAAGCCTACGCCTAGGCATTACCTGGATCAACAGCAGCCGCAACATCTGAAAGTGCATCCGCTTCGTCGACTTGCTAACCAGAGATTTCACCACAAAGATGTATCTAATTTTTTTTTGGATACCCGGCTTCAAAGCATAACCTACAGTCGAAAACCAAAGCAGCAGACACCAGAATATAGTACAATAAGAATTAAAAGCAATCCGCCCGCGCCAAAGATGTTTTTCCATAGATACCGCGGAGTTCCAGTGCTGTCCGGCCACTTAAGAGATACATATACGGCCGACCTATGCATTCGGAAACTTGAGCTTAAGCCTAAGCCTATGCTCAAACCGAGGCCTCAAGGTAACACCAACACTAATCCCAAGCCTTAGCCTAAGCTTAAGCCTAAGCGTATTCGACGCTTACTCCTAACCTAGATAAAAATTCCTAACTTACGATATACACCGGCCCAATATACCCAAACGTATCCGGGTCCACTCCATAGACATTGTGAAGAAATTCGCGACTCAAATCGTTCCGTTGCTGCGTTGGCTAAATTTCATTAATCTGGGTCTAATCTCAAAAACTCACGCTCATCGAATACGCGCAAAATAGCACCCAAGCGATGCCAAAAGCAAATTGGGCCACCGTAAGCCCCACGATGCACCAAGGACTCGCAAACAGGAATGACCATTTTCTGAATGGTGTCAGGTGTTTTTCCCCAGTGAGAAAATTACCCGGTGATCTTGACGTAGCGATAGATGCAGTGAATGGTCAGCAGCGCCAACGACATCGCAAACGAATCGACGTATAGCTAAATTTTTAAGGCATAAACATATGTTGGGGGATCGAACTTATCCCAACAAAATACCGCTATTTTGTCCCGAATTTTAACCCGTTTTTGTAGCACTTAATATTGATCTTAGACGACTTAACGGATAAAAAAACTTTGCACGTTTTTGCCGCCAAAAATGGATGTAGACTACAAAAAGTGCGAAAAGCTACAAAAGTCTCAAAAACTTTCTGGCAATCAATCAAGTAACATCAGTTCCCATCCGAAAATCCCGCTACCCCCCCCCCCCGCTAGCAGCCCAGTACCAAATTTACAATTTCAAAACACATCACGATTGCAAGAAATGTTGGTACTATCTCGTTGTACGTTGTCGACATTGTAAAAGTCCAAACCGGAGATGGAGAGAAAGAGAGATTGCGAGAGAGAGAGATAGAGAAAGCGAGAGAGAGAGAGAGAGAGAGAGAGAGAGAGAGAGAGAGAGAGAGAGAAAGAATCCGAGAGAGCGAGAGCGAGAGAGAGAGGAATAGAGGGAGAGAGAGGGAGAGAGAGAGAGAGAGAGAGAGAGAGAGCGATAGCGGCAGAGAGTGGGAGTGCGAGAGAGCCAACTGGCCATATGCATTTACCATAGCCCCAAAATAGGCCCAGCTCCAGCCCCACTTGAGAAATATCTTGCTGAATAGTAGGAAACCGCTGCCATCGATGGCGACTCCCTAAATTTAAACTTATAAATACAATAGCGTGACTACGATATCGGCAATGCAGTGGACGATGCTGTAGTAGATGTTATACAGGCCGACCAGGCCCAGGATACGGCGGTAGTGGTTGGCGCCGCGCTGCAAAAGTTGATGGGGTTTGTTTCAAAGTTCGGCAAAGTTTCGAAGTTTCAATGAAATTTTGCCAATTTGGGGATTGAAATTTGGATTTTTAGATAGTTGTTTCGACTTGAAATCTGATACTGCTATTAAGACATGATCAATCCCCCCCCAATAATGCCAAAGAACCGGCAGATGACCTGGGACAGGTGATCGTTGAACGTAGCTTCTCGAAAACCCCATCTCTCTCTCGCTCTCCCTCTCACTTTCTCTCGTTCTTTCTCTCGCTCTCATTCTCTCTCGCCCTCTCTTTCTCGCTCTCTCCATCACTTACCGCCTGGTCCGTCGCGATCAGATAGAGCAAGAATAAATTCAGGAATATCCCAAAGAATCCGTTCAGCCAAACGAGGTCACCCTGCAGTTCGCCGTTCATTGGAATGAATAAGATCCCGCGGCGGTCCGTCTAAAATACTCTCCCCTTTCCATTATGCGGTCATTTTTATTAATTTCTTTCTATGCCAGGGTGCATGACATCTCCACTCAGGCGAGACGCCCCAATAATTGATGACACGGGTAAATACCGTAATCGCGTTTTCCGGGGGCATGGGGGCGGAAAATTGGAAGAATAGGGCTGAGCTGGCGCTGATATGGACAAGTTGGTGTTGGAGCATTGGTAGTCGTCCGGAGATAAGTCGTTAGTATCCAGGTGTACTTACAAGGAAACGTTTTCTAGAGTAGACGTAGTTTCGAGGCAGCTCTAGGCTTAGGCTTATGCTTAGGCTTGGGCTTAGGTTACAGGCTTAGGCTTAGGCTTAGGCTTAGGTACAGGCTTAGGCTTAGGCTTAGGCTTAGGCTTAGGGCTATGCGTAGGCTTAGGCCTAGGATTCGGCGCGGCTGAGCCTAAGCCTAAGCCTGAAAAGCCTATTCCTAGCCTTAGCCTATTCCTAAGTTGAAGCCGAGAAGCAACCGGTTTTCGAGCAAATTTTCCGAACGTCATCTGCAAAGCTTCCCGGTTCAGGCCCCAAATTTCTCGCTCGACTTTCACCTGATCAATCATATTGGGAAATGGGCACTCTTTAGGACCAAATATTTTTCATTTATTGTCTTCTCGACCATCCGCCCGGCATTGGGAACAATGTGCCGAATTTTAGGTTTTATTTATCATGCCGCGTATGCCCCTTGTGCGAAAAACCGGCAAATTTGTGTAGGGAGGAGATTCTAATGATATTTTTATCGTTGTTGAATATGTACAGTAGGTAGTGAAATGTACAATAGGCAAATCATTTTTTCTAGTCATCAAAAAAGCCGCCGGACCCCATCTCGTCTTGCATCTGAGAAATCATCGAGTTCGTCTTCATCATTTCGCTCTGGGCATCCTGAAAATTTCAATTTCGGAAATTTTGGTTGTTGGGCTTAGGCTTAGGCTTAGATTTAAGCTTCTACTTCTTGAAAATGGCACATAATACAAGAATAGAAGCTTCTCAAAACAAATTCGGAATCAGCGCAAAATTCTGCACAAGATGCCTGGGGATCGGTTTCTACAAATGCCAAATCTACCAAGGAAACTTTTTGAGTTTCAACTGGAAATTCAACCCACCGCCGGGTTCCCATAGGAGTACGTGTGGGATGCTCCGCTGTATCCAGGCCCGCTGTAGCTCGTCTGTTGATGGAGTCCGCCTAAAAACGTTCCTTTTCACACCTCTGTGCCCGGGAAATTCTCCTAGGAAATGAAAAGGAGCTCAGGAATCGTCAAAAAGTTGCCACCCAAAAGTCTCCGACTCAAAACGCACCAGTGAGCGGATCCCTATAGACAACGGTACCCGTTGGGTAGGCCAGACCAGAAGTTGTAGGGTAGCTGGCGGCTGGCACGACAACCCCGGTGGCAATCGGGCTACGGTAGGGGTCAACGGGTACGGTAGCGACTGGGCTACTGTAGGCGGCAACGGGAACGGTGGCGGCCGACGCGCCGTAATACGGAGTGATGGCTAGAAAATGAGAGCGAAATGCTGGATTTTTGTTTATTTTTGGGATTTGGAGCCTGCGCCTAAGCCTAAGCCTAAGCATAAACCTACGCTTAAGCCAAAGCCTAAGTAAGCTTATGCCAAGTTGCGAGGGAATCATGAGTCTTTTTGTTTAGGACCAATTTTTACTCATTCTGGTTTTTCAGGGATCATTTGCCCGTCCCACCCCCGATAATGCAAAACGTCCGGCAAAATAACAGTGGACGCCTTGTCCATTGCTTTAAACCAGACAGACCGACAGATAGGCTTACAGACGCTATGTCTACTCGCTTCCTAAGCCCCGTCCTGAGCTCCCGTCCTAATTTCCTATCCCATGATTCAATTACCGTATTTCTTGGTAGCACTCGGCCGGTACATGTAGGATCTATGGCTGCTGAACGAGCCCCCAGTGCTAACTGGGCCGTAGCTGCCCGACCGGCTCGAGGAGTACACGCGAGTTGTGGAGGGAGGGTGCCCTTGAAAATTCGGTTCCGGGCCGTTAGCGGGGGCTTAGTCGTTCAGGGCTTACAAGGGAACCTCACGCGGATAGGGTGGAATTTCGAAAAACGCTCGCGGCTACCCCTAGGTAATCGACCATTGCGATCACGATGCGCTTGTCAAATTTTTCTGAATGCACCTGTGGACAGACATACAGCACTTCCGGAAAATGATGATTTGCATGCGAAAAATTAGCATCGAGGGATGGTTTATTAGGCTCTCCCATCACTATGGAATCACCAGTTGAATGACCGAGTGGTAACCAACTCGCTTGATAGGATACTGACGAGGGTTCGGATCCGCTCAGGATTTTTTATTTTGCCTTTTTGGGCCAGAAATTTTCGCACAAGTCCAGAACATCGCCAAAATTGATGAAACCCCCCATACTTTACCCAGCATAATCCCCTGTTTTTGAAATTTTTTCGAAAAAATATAGTCCCGAAATCGATGCGGACGGCCATGCATCCTTTGGCACGCCAGAGAACAACAAATTGGCTGTTTTTTAAGAATCCTTGTCTGATCGACTGCACCAGAAAATGCTAGAACGGCACCCCTGGCTCGTGCAAAAATCGACATCTAAAGATTTGGGTCTGATACATTAACTGGTCTGGACTTGTGCAAAAATCTCTGGCCAAAAAAGCAAAATGAAAAATTGCGAGTGGATCCGAACCCTCGTCAGTATCCTATCAAGCGAGTTGCTTACCACTCGGTCACTCAACTGGTGATTCCATAGTGATGGGAGAGCCTAATAAACCATCCCTCGATGCTAATTTTTCGCATGCAAATCATCATTTTCCGGAAGTGCTGTATCTCTGTCCACAGGTGCATTCAGAAAAATCTGACAAGCGCATCGTGATCGCAATGGTCGATTACCTAGGGGTAGCCGCGAGCGTTTTTCGAAATTCCACCCTGTCCGCGTGAGGTTCCCTTGTTAGCTTAGCGCCAAGCTCAGCTCAGGCTTTGTTCGCATGAAGCTAAGCCCCAGTTAGTCTGAGGCCTCCCGCGGCGCTAACAGTCCAGATCCTCACATCCTAGCTTTGGGTTGGGACAGGATTGAACGATAAAGATGACTCATTCATGCAACATGCAAACTCAGAAGCCGATCAGCCTTGCAGAAAACCGTTAGTAGTTTGAAGTGATGGAAACGCCTCAACGCTGTACGCTGCGGGTTCATCTAAATGACGGGTAAGGCATAATTCTGGTAATTCGACTTTTAGGCTTGGCTAAGCATATGCCTAGGCTGACCCGTTATACAAAATCCAAATTCGATCTTACCCCGAATGTCAAATGGCACAGGATACACCACAGTGGCCCAAACGTGAAGTTGAAGACGGTCAGCACAAAGATGCCGAGCGGCGTGTCGAACAGAAACTTCCACTTCCTGAAGCACACCTTCCTTCTTCTGAAGCGCCGGCCACCTACCCCGAGATTTTCACAAAGCGATAGATGCAGTGGATGGCCAACAGCGTCAGGGTCATGTGAAAGGCCGCCATGTACACCTCAATTTCCGACTGAATTTCAGAGTGCTACTAAATGTTGGTGCTAATTTTAATGTCAATTTTCGTAGTGCTTTAGTAGTTTTTGTTGCTATGAACTATGTAAAAAATCTGTTGAAAAAGGGGAATTGGACGCGCTAGTTTTTGAAACTATTTTTTACTATTATGTCTATTTTGTCTTGTTAAGTATAACTATTTTGTCTTAAAGGTCAGAAAATTTGGAAAATGTGCGGATTTTCTGTGCTTTTTAGACTTAAAAACGGTGTCTAGGCTCCAATAGAGTTGTTCGGGTTACTCGGTCTTTAGAAAAAAGTTATGAGTTTTACAAAAGTTTTCGCTGCGGGAGCCTTTCGACCCGACGGAGTTTCGACCCAGGTCTATAACAACTCTAGGCTCCAAACATGTTCGTTTTTAGATGTCGCTGCAGGACTTGACGGGAAACTGGACAAAAATTGGTATCCTCCAGTACCCTCCCGCCGTTACCAGCCCAGTACCATTCATACTTACAGCTAATCGCGTTCGCTAACCGTAAATCAAGGAGCATCTATAAACTCACAAATATCCCCATGTACGAGATCCACTTTCCATAGCCCGCCAGATTCTTGCTGAACATGAAGAAGCCGTAGTCGTCGATCAGCCAGCCCTGACAATTACCGGGTATAATTTGTTCTAAGCGCTTTGTTAGATTTTACCATATCGAGTGTCATGTGGACGAGCGCGTAATAGATGTTATAGGCCAAGACGATGCCCAGCATCCGCTTGTACCCATCCGAATGTTTCTGAAAACCATGGCATTGGCTTTTTTGAAGATTTAGCTTTTCGCAACCAGTTCAAGCTCTTCCTAAACTGCTGTTTTTTCCGTTTTTCTAAAATTAAACTCTCTTTTTTTTACGTAAACGTACGGGAAAATGCCACTTTATGGTATTTTCGTAAAATCTGATTTTTTTGAGAAGGCATCCGATGCGGGAGTGCGTTTCATACGATTCACGGGGGCTGCTTGGTAAAACTCACCGAATTGTCGGTGGCGATGAAGTAGATGAGCAGCGCGTTGAAGCAAATCCCCAGCGTGCAGTTCGAGTAGACGTAGATGCTCTGTAGCTCGCTTTCCATAGCTGCAAAAAAAAAGATAAATGGAGTCAATAATCGTAAAACGCGATAACCGGAGCAAAAATCAAGACGAAAAAAGGAAGGTTCCCGCAGTTGAGCAATCCGCGCCTGGGGAATTCTTGCAAATGCCTGCGCGTGTTTTAGCAGCCTGTTTTTTCCGAGTGCCGTCAATCGGAAAAGCGAGTCAGCGAGTGAAGTGGAATCCAAGATTTTAATCACGGCTGCACCCACGGCGGTTTTTTCACATTATCGGGGGGGGGGGGTTTCTTAGCATCCAATTTTTCAAATATAAATAGCGGAAGTATGTCTACACTGTTTGTTACTATCCCCATACGTAAAACTGCACGAATTTTCATCCAAAAATTAAAAAAAGTCGGTTTTTCGACCACAAAAGGGCTGTTTTCAGAAATTACTCATTCGATCGAGCTTAAATTGTAGCTGACCAAATCCCAAATTTCAAATCACTGAACAATGGCGTTATTTCAGCAAAAATTCTCAGACCTTATGGCATAAGTGCAGCCGCCGCCCGACTTTTGTACCTCGGCTCCGCTTTATCCTACCGGGCAGTAAATTCTACGAAAATACTCGGGAGAGCAAGGCGAACATTTTGGTATAGTTTAATGCACTCTAACCGAATTTCTATTTTGTGAGGCACGCGCCAAATATGGGCAAAATTGGCCCTTTAGAAGCAAATTTTATCCAGACACCGCATTTTTTGAGCGTTTTTTGGAAGATCGGATTTGTTTGGAATTTCACATTCTATTAAATGAGATATGAAACATCACAAAATCAACCAAACCAGGCTAAAAACAAGCAACAAGAGCTAAATCATCAGTATTTCGAGGCGTGATATGATGCTCAGCTTTTATACCATGTATCGCTCATTTTCTGGTTCACATCCCTGTTGGTCTCATTAGTGTTTTTGTGGCAGCGTCTCGAGGATTATGATCCGACACCCCAAAAAAATGCTCGGCCCGCCCGGCGAACAATGGGCGTTACGGTGGTGGTGGTCGGAGTGCGTTTCTGGCTGGTTGCACTTGTTGGCCAGGCTGTTAGTAGCTGAACGTACTGGGTGTGTATACGCATCGATCCGTGCGACGTCACCAAGCGGGGTGAATTTGGAGCACAAATGAGAAACAACTATATGGCAATACAGGGGGAAACATCGCTTGAAGAACTTTCTTGGCAGTCGACAAAAAAACTTCTCTCGGCTTAGGCTTAGGTTAAGCTTAGGCTTAGGCTTAGGCTTAGGCATAGGCTTAGCGTCTCTAATTGATCGGGGGGGGGGAGTAGGTCTTTTTCGTAGAATCTAATGTTCCTGAAAAGAATAGAGAACGTCTGGACCTTTTCCTTGCGATTCTTATGGGAAAAACCGGCAGGTTTTTCACACTAATAATCGATTTTTCGACCAAAGATGGCCGAAATTCGACCAAAATTTCACCCTAGTAATTTTTAGAAGCTCCGAACCAGTGTTCGGAAAGTGGTCGAAGTTACGTAACTGGGACCTCCGGGACCTCGGGATAGGTGAAAGGACCTCCGGGTTTCGGCCCGAAGGGTTTTTAGGGTTTTTCAACTCAAAACACAACTCATCACTTGACGCAATGTATTAGAAAAATGTTCGTCTTGTTTTTCTCTATCAGAAACTGCAAAAATGGAGGTTGGTCAATCGGCTAGTTTTCGAGATGCTGGGACCTCCGTGTTGAAAAACTGCTATTTTTCCACTATTTCCCACAGAACTTTTTTTACGCCCATTTTTCTGGCTGACAATATATTACGAAAAGATGCAGAATCGAATTCTGCGTCGAATGGTGTATCGCACCTTGCCATGGCCCTCTTCTTTCATTTACTTCCGGGACCTCCAAACTGCCGCCACAACCCATCCGCAACTTCTGCCGTCGCGGTTGGTGCTCTCTTCGGTGCTCTGTCTCTCCAAGCCCCAGGCTTCTCTCGTCCCATTCTTTTCGCTATTCTGTAGCCCTAATCCTACCCGTCCTTTTGGCTATACATCACTTCCCTCCATCTCCGGTTTTTTGGGCCGCAAAACCGGAAAAAACTTTCAAAAAGTTATGGTTGGCCTCCATTTTCCCGTGTTTTTTCGACACCTTTTCCCCTCCAAATATTTTCTCTGGCCACCTATCGCCACCGCCGACCCATCATTCGATAGCCGACTTCCCGTTCTACATTTTGAAATCCTTTCCGGCCCTGCCACACTTCCGGTTCTTCCGGAAAACCGAATGGCAAAGTTATGGCTGGAAACCGGTTACTAAAAACAACGCGATTTCGCCCCTCAAAACACCGTTTTTTCGGGGGACCTCCGGAATTTTTCCAAAACCAACATTTTTTGGGACCTCCGACCCTCACCCAACCATAACTTTCCTGAACACTGCTCCGAACATTAATGTCTTGAGGGTTCTGTAAGTTTCATAATTTGCAAATGCAAGTATAACCACTCGGAAAAATTCGAAATTTATTGTTCTGGAAATTTTAGGCGAAGAGAGCTCGAATTGATGATGAGGTTCTGATTGTGAGGAATCAAAAAACGGATTGAGGAAGGTCGGAGGTGCTGGAGCGGTTGATGCGGGCCAGTCGGAAGATGGGTAGAGCAAGTAGACGGTGTCGGAAGGTCTGAATTCGGGTTCTTAGATAATAGGCTTAATTAGGCTTAGGCTTAGGCTTAGGTCAGGCTGAGGCTTAGACTTAGGCTACGGTGGGCTGGGGCTAAGTCGTAGGCGTTGGCTTCGTTTTTGCAAACGCACCTTGAAAAAGATGAGGACAAACAGAGCATCAGCAGTCGGGAAGCACGAGGTCATCAACGGGACGGCGAGCCCGTAGTCCTGGATGGGCAACCCTAAAAAAAGTGTCGTGCTAGGGCAAATGAGCGTCAAGGGGTGCAAAATTTAACAAGCCAAAGTCACCAAAAGCCCACCCAACACCCCGCCGAACATGCCGATCACGCAGGGGATGTACTCGAAGACGATGGGAGCTATCGCCTAGAAAAATAAACATAAGCAGTAGGCAAGCCATCAAAAACAGGCTCTGGATTCCGCACCTGAATGAGCAGCAGCCGAAGCAGCTGGAAGTTAAGACGCTTGGTTTTGGCGCTGAGGGTCGAGCCGCGGACGAATAAGTACCTAGGTTTCGGTATTTATTAAAGGGGGATAGGGAGAGAAAGAGAGAGAGCGAGAGATAGGGGGAGAGCGGGGGTAGAGAGGGGGCTATAGATAGGAAGAGAGTCAGAATGAGAGCGAGAGACACACAGAGAGCAAGATAGACAGCGAGAGAGCGAGAGAGAGTGAGAAAGAGAGAGAGAGAGAGAGAGAGAGCGAAAGAGAAAGAGCACCAAAGATACAGATGGAGAGAGTGAGAGAGAGCGCGAGAGACAGAGAGAAAATATTGGAGAAACTTACAACTCCAACGCCCCAAAGCATATTGCCGTGTACACGGTTATCAAGATGGCGATGACCAGCCCGGCGCCGGCCATGTTAAACCACTGGATTCGCACCTTCCCCGGCCTCGCATCGTCAGGCATCTAAATCGGTAGATTTTCCAGAATCGGTCCCACCAGAAACATGGCGCCAATGTACCCGATTTGCTCGATCTCGATCCCGAATTGGTCGGCCATTGTCCGGCGACTCATGGCCGTTCGGCCCGCCGTTGGCTGGAAATTCTTATCTCGACGATTTTCGTAAGATCACCCACACAGAGGAAAATATGCGAAAAGAGGCACCACAGCAGCCCGAAGATGAGGTTGAAGAAGGCGAGAACGGAGAGGCCGAGTTTCGTATTGAACAGCCAAGCCAAATGGCTACGGCTTGAAATGGTCAGCAAAAAACGAGGGGGGCTTACCCGGAAATGGTGGCGTAGCGGTAGACGCAATGAGTGGCGAGGAGAGTCAGAGTGACGGTGAATGCGTCCATATAGACCTGAAAATAAAGTGTTTTTAGAGGTTGCGCCGAAGCCTAAGCCTAAGGCAACGCCCGAGCCTAAGCCTAACCTAAGCTCGTAGCTAAGCCTAACCCTATGCTGAGTAATCCCCAGTCTAAGACCAACCTAAGCCGAAGCCGAATTAAATCTAAGCCTAACCCTAAACCTAAGCCTAAGCCTAAGCCTTAGCCGAAGCCTAGGCTTAAGCTAACCGACGCCCCACCTACCATAATCGCAATATAGGAAGTCCAAAAGCCGGCCGTCGCAAAATTTTTGCTGAAAAGTACAAAGCCATACTCGTCGACGATGAAGCCCTGTAAAAAGTTCGGGATTTTGGCCGTCGGCCTTTTTTTAGATAAATTTTCCCACCATGTCGAGGACCATATGGACGGCGCTTGTGTACACGTTGTAGAGCAGGATGATGGCCAGCATCTTTTTTGTAGTTGTCCTCGCCTTTCTGAAGGAATTTTTGTCTGGTATTATCAAAAGGCAAGCATGGCGCGAAAGCATTTTCAAAGCAGATAAATTGGCATAGTTTAATAAAGCCAACCCTGCCATCGCTGATGAGGAAATAGAGCAGCAGACAGTTGCATCCGATTCCGAACGTGCAGTTGACGTTCATGATGGTGCTCTCCAGGTGGCTGTCCATCTCCTGAAACGGGGAGAAGTCACTTATTCTTAGAAGTTTTAAAAAGCGGGATTTGCTACCATATTGCCGCAACTGATAATGCCGAAATTTCATAATGACGAAGCCGTATAATAATGGGGGACACTTTACTACGTTTTTTTTATAATCAAAACAATGTAAAATATGGGTTTTTTCGGGTTACAAAAAAAGTCCTTAGTATATTTTTTGGCCCTCTGCCGGATGCGTAGTATTTCCAAAATACCGAAAATATTCAAAATGCCAGAAATAGGTATACCCCGGTGCGCTGCCCAAAGCTTTCAACGATAGTGAGAGAGAGAGGGAGCGCGCAAGAGATAAAGAGAGAGAAATAGAGAGAGTGAGAAAGAGAGAGAGAGAGTGAGAGAGAGGGGCATATAGAAAAATACTTATGTTGTGGAATCTATCCCAGCCATCCGTGCCAATTTCATGCTCCGATCGCAATTTATACCAATCTCCTAAGCCAGAAATCAGCCTAATCCCTGTACATTACATGAGAGCCGGATTATTTTGATTCGGCTGCCCTATTCACGACCGGGAAATGGCCATTCTTCCGGGGTACGGTAGCACCGGCGTGTTTTATGGATCAGCGCGCTTCTCACGCGTTTCTCCCGGATTTGTACCTGATCCGTGAAGCATCAAGGGGGACTTTTTAGTGTTATATTTTTTTATACGACGACATAAGAAAATGCCATTTTCTGATGAAAAATGGTTCGTAAAATGACCTGTGTCCCAATAAAAACCCAGCTCTAACCCCTATAAGTACCGGATCGGGACGATAGTTGCATGATTCCAAAGCCCTTGATACGGCGAGTTCGCAACAGTTTTCAAAACGACATTTTTATTTAAACCCGCTATTTTAAAAACCATTTTGTAACATTTGAGGTTCGGGGGTTGCCTACCTCAATTTTTTTTTCAAACAAAATGACCGGAAGTTGCCGTTAATTAGATGAAGAGTTCTTCCTTAATATTTTAATTGCCTTGTAAAACGGCTCCTTTAAAAAAAAGCGACGAAGTTTATGGAGATTTTGACGAACAAACTCGAAATTTACGCCGTGTCAGGCGAAGCAAACTTCGCTGAGCCTTCAAAATAAGGCCTAATTCTTAAAGTCTAATTTGACAGTAAAAATCCCGATAAAATGACACAAAGTTCCGAAGTTTCACAAATACGACGAACGCTTCAAAGGACACGGGCAGGATTCGGTGGAAGCGGATACAAATCGGCACTTTCAAAGTAAATACAATTCTTTGGTTTCCGCTACAGCAAAGAGACTATAATAAAAATTTTTAATACAATTATTGGGAAATAAAACAACTACTGCAAAGATTAGCATATTTAAAGAATTAAAACGCTTAAAAACTGCTTGAGTTGCTTTATACTAACCTGCTTGCCTCATGTGACATGTATGGACGCTTTTCGTTCACTAGAGACCGCATTTCCTGAAGTCACCTAAAATATACGATGTAGCTTTTAAATGGTTTTCTACGCAGAAATCAAATAAGGTACAAAGAACTAAAAATGGAATTATCGGTGGGCAGAATATCTCGAAAAGTCTGGAGGATGAAAAACTAATTTAGGTCGTAGCGGACTGTTAATAAAGTTTCCATCACCTCGCTCTCTCTCGGGCTTGCTCCCTCTGACTCTCTTGCTCTCGCCCTCTCTCTCTCTCTCTCTCTCTCTCTCTCTCTCTCTCTCAATCTCGCTTTGACTCGCTCCCGCTAACTCGCATGAGGAGCGGTGCGAATCAAAGGCTAGAAAAATTGCCTTTAAAGTCGTTAATTGATCGAGTGGAGCTGGAATTCGACGCTCTCTCTCTCTCTCTCTCTCTCTCTCTCTCTCGCTCTCACCCTCTCTCTTTTTCTCACTTATGGCCAAATAAAAAAAATAGGAGTAACAACGAATTTCCGCTGTGAAAATGAAAGAAATTGATAGCTGAGCAAAGAGCTGTACAAAAGTCAGGATATGCAAATGCCATAGGCCGAAAACGATCCTTTCGATCAAGCGAAAAAAGATCGATACAGCTCCCCCGACAAGCCAATCGGTGAGCTACCGTAACCTAATCGTGGGCCCAACCCCTCCGGGGGCCACCTGGCGGACCTATTCTTTGATGGCTACCGTATCTGCCGTGTGAGGGGTCCATGATGGGATTATTCGCTTCGGTGCTTCTAATCCGTCCCCCCACCAGCCCGTAGGCGGATCGAGATAATGAGCTGTGGGCAGTCTATTCTTCCCCTTTCTTCCCCGGTCCCTCCTGCGATATTCCTACCGTAACCGGGGGCTCTTGGATTCAGCCGTTCAGGTTTGGACGTCGTATCGATTGATCATTGGTTGGCGCAAGATGGCGTCGCGACGAAGGTCTACGCCAAAGCCCAAGCATAAGTCTAATCCCATTACTAGGCCTAAACCTAAGCATTAAATCGTACGCAAACCTAGCATAGGCCTAAGCCGAAGCCTAAGCATAAACCCAAGCCTAAGCCTAAGCATAAGCCCGAGCCTAAGCCAAAGCCTAAGCCTACGCTGAATCCTAAGCTGAAGTTCGTTAAGCCATCTCTAAGCCTTGGCTTGATCTGTGCTTATGTTTAGGCTTATGACTAGGCTTCGGCTTGGGCTTAGTTTTAAGCTTAAGCTTGCATCCCGATTTGGTAATCATTCCATTTCCCCGTCCACGTTTCCAAATCCGGGGCGGGGCTGTCCGCCTAGCAAAACCCGGTTCTCAGGAGAGGTTTTGTATGTGGACACCCGCCGAGGAGGGAAACCAGAGGCTAAGGCACCCAATAAATAATGTTATAAATAATCGATACTTTTCTGTGTTTAATACAGGGCGTCCCAAGAAAAAGCGACGCCTAGAGCGGTCCAGTGAAAACTCGGATCGGGATGATTTTACCCCATTCGAAATCCTTTGAAACGGCGAGAAAACACGAGCTTTAGCAAGCAGTTCACATGCGTATTTCGCATAGAATCTGTAGTTTTTATGGATTTTGGCTTTGTATTTCGTATTTAGTATTTGGCTTCTGTTACGAAAAGTGCTTGTTTACTCGCCTCCCCGAGAGCTTTCGATAGATACGTAAATTGTCAAATTCGGACACTTCTCCGAGTCGCTAGATGGTTTATAGATATAGATAGAGGTTTATATAGATTTTTTAGGACACCTTCTATGAAGACAAGAGTGCGAAGTAGCGCTCGCAACCCTGCGAGCGATGATTTCTAAACATGGAATTGTAGAAAAATAAGAACGTTATTAACTCCTGCCTTGAAAATTGGGGAGAACGAAGGAAATCCTACCCAAATTGCCGTATGCAAATTAACTATCAAGAATCGAAGCCCAACGCCAAGGAAACAGTGGCCAATCGGGGCCAATCATTTAGCACCCAATGCCATGGGGGGATCATATCTAGTCTCCATCTCATTTGACCGCGCCCGCCCCATCAATAGGTGACAACTTGTCAAAATGCCCCCAGGGCACTTATGCTAATTAGCCGCCGGTTAGGAGGTCAAAACCGGGTCCTGTGGGCTTAGCGTGGAGCTATCTTGGCTCGGCGTAGGCTAAAAAGGCTTAGGCTTCGTTTGTATGAAGTTAAGCCTGCGTTTAGGCTTAACTTAGCTTTTCCAAAGGGTAAGAGTTTAATAGACGTAGTTTATAGAGTTTTGTAGTCAATTTTAAAAAATTCAACACATGTTTCAAACGGGAATCTTTCAGAATCTCGCATTATCATAATCTCGCATTTTCATAATCTCGCATTTTCATAATCTCGCATTTTCAGAATCTCGCATTTTCAGAATCTCGCATTTTCAGAATCTCGCATTTTCAGGATCTAGCAATTTCAGGATCTAGCAATTTCAGTCTCGCAACTTTTCCAAGGGCTTTCCAAGGGTTCCAAGAATTCGATGAATGATGATTGATCACAGAATAAGCGGAACACAACAAATTTCGAATGTCTGGGCCACTAATTTAAGGGATTCGAGATGGTCAGATGCGTCGTACGCCTCGTCGAGGCCACGCTGGGCTTGGTAATCGATGGCAATGGGTGTGTGCTACATGCCTTGTTGCTGCGCCTCGGTTAAACGGTTGTCGATGCGTTCTTGGAAACCGCCCAACGTTTCCAGAAACTTCCAAATGCCAAGGCTCTGTTAGTTGTAGTTAGTAGAAATGCAGCTAGTTTATGGGAATTGCGAGATTCTGCAGATGCGAGATTCTGAAAATGCGAGATTCTGAAAATGCGAGATTCTGAAAATGCGAGATTCTGAAAATGCGAGATTATGAAAATGCGAGATTATGAAAATGCGAGATTATGAAAATGCGAGATTCTGAAAATGCGAGATTATGAAAATGCGAGATTATGAAAATGCGAGATTATGAAAATGCGAGATTATGATACCAAATCGTTTCAAACGCATTTATTAAGCCGAGTTTTATAAATTGTTACAAGCTCAACGTAAGGAAATAAATTAAAACCGCGGGTGTGCCGAGCGAAGATCCTGAAACTTGACCGTTAGATTCTGCTAAAGACTGCATGACCCACGGGAAATGGCGGCTTTTGTTGTTGTTGTCGCAACCGCGTCCTGGACTGCAGTGTATCTAAAACAGTTTGATCTGTAAAATGAATGTAAAGATTAATGGCTTCTTTTCGTTTGTCAAAATATAATTTTTCAAAATATTCCTTTGTCGAAATTTCATTTTGTCGAAATTTTATTCTGTACAAATTTTATGTTGCCAAAATCTTACGTGGTCGAATTTTATTTTTGTCAAAATCTGATTTTGTTTTAAATGTCACCTTGTCGAAATTTGAGAGGTCGATTTTTCATTTTCGAAATTTTATGTTGCCGAAGTTTAATTTTATCGAAATTTGAATCCCTGTTTGACTGCGATTATTCCTCTCAAAACTGAAAATTCAGCGCATTCATACCGAAAAAATAAAATGTCGATAAAATGGTTTTCGCCAAACTGTTTGCAAATTCAGAATAACGTTAAAATTTTTGGAATCATGGAGTTGCTTAAAATAGTTCAATTTTCTGATTTCCTTCATGAAAACCATGCAAGTCTTACCTTAACAGCAACCCGCTCTGGCAGTTGCTGAGCGAAACGAGAGGCGAACACGTCCAATTGTAGTTCACCCACACTTCGTGACTGTACGTTTGCGTCGAACAGGCCGTGTTCGAGAGGTACCTATACGAAACTGTCATAGAGTTTTTCTTTTTTTACTGCTTTTTTAACTTCTTAACTCCGTATTTAAAATTACTGTGCGATTTCGCCAGAGCCATTCGATGGAGCGTCCAAAAAATACTGATATAATTCATTTCAATTTAATTTATCTGCGCAACGGGGCGCCATTGCATGTGCAATGAGTCACAGTATAGACGGAAAGATTTCACAGAAATAGCAAAAAGCGCAAAAATATACAGAAAGCTTTTTATAGCCCAAAAACCGAAACCCTTAACCCTTAACTTTTGGTCGCTTTTCCGTGTTTTTGCTATTTAAAAATTTTCAGAAAATCACTTCGTCTCCTTCTGTTCATCCACTGTCAAGCTTGCCCCGGCGGGTAGCGTGCCAAGTAATTCGAAAGTCAGATAGCTGCCATTTCCGGTCTGTAAACGAGCCTTTTTATAATTTTCGCATTATAACATAAATTTCCGGAAACATCGAGAAAAAACCCACATTTCTGAGATAGTAGCGCATCGTTTGGGTGGTGGCTTTCGCGTCCACATATTGGTAGGAGGTCAGCACACCTGCCGACACCACCGCGTACGAGGGTATTCGGGCTGAAAGCGGAAGCTAAGCTGACGCATAGGCCTACGCCTAAGCCTGAGCCCATCCTAAGCCTAAGCCTAAGCCGGCAACCGCCTGAAAGGTATCATGCCTGGCCGTTTCGTGAACATTGTGGCATTACACTGGCCGCTGTGTTCGTCGATCTCAAACGTCAGGTACCGTCCATAGATCGGATCCGGTATCAGGGTACGGTAGACTTTCTCCCCGCATACCTGGCCGGCATCTCTAAAAATTGAATATGGGGCTTGGGCAAGCCTAGGCCTAAGGTTACTCCAGCCAAAGCCTTTGCCTGACCTACGCTCTAAGCCGGCCTACACAAGCCTCAAACCAGCCACGCACGAGCCCGAGAGGCTAAGCTATAACTCAGCTAAGCCTGCTTAGGCCTAGGCCTAAGCTAAGCCTAAGCCTAAGCTTATACCTGACCTAAACCTAAGCCTAACCTAAGCCAACGCCTAAGCCTGAACCTAAGCCTAAGCCTAAGTCTAATAATAAGCCTAAGCCTAAGCCCAGGTCCGAACTTACGTACCCATAAAAGTGCGTTTGTTCGTTGCGTGTCAGCCCCTGCCAAACATTGGCCGGACAATCGCCGTCCAGCTTGAGCTGTATGGCGACCGAGGCGAGGTCGATCTCCGCCGAGGGCTAAATTTTTGTGGTTTGCGTAGTCTTTCTACTATGACAGTTTGGCACTTGATACCTGGTAGAAAATGTATTTCTTGGCAGGCCCGGCGGCGATCATCATATTCACCCCGTAGTTGGGAATATCGCGGCTGTTGGCAACGATGCGGTACTCGTCTCCGTCTGAAATGTTTTGTTATGCAGAGGAAGAGTTTGAATTATCCTGTTACTGGCCGTTTTTGCCATATCTAGGTTATTTTACATTGTTCTGGGCGCTGGAGCAGACTCTTGTTGTATTTTTGGATGCTATTTCGCGCAGGCAGCCTTTAAAATGTCGATAAATGACGCAATTTTTCAAAGTTTATTGTTGTCTTTTTATGAATTTTCACAAGCTGTCATAATCTGTCTGTCAGAAACTGTTTCTAAAACGTTTCTTTTAAAAAACGCTCACAAACGGTAAACAGCTGATGCCAGGGCTTTGGCGGGGTCCCGCCTTGAATATTCGTAATCTCGATGCGAAGCGCGCCGGTGGCCATCGAAAACGTGGTGGCGGTGGTGAAGCAAAAAATTTTGTGTTTTTCCGTAAAATTTGTCAACTGACTTTTGCAAGATGTCAATCGCGGCTCCATCGAGATACGCCTGCACACGAAAGCCTTCCGGCTGCGCGAAAAATGCCGAGGTGATTGTTCTAAAGGGATTTCGATAAGTTTTTAAGGTTTTTGCTTAGGATTAGGCCTAAGCTTTAGGTTGAGGCTTAGGCTTAAGCTTAGGCCTAGGCTTGGGCTTAGGATTAAGCATGCTTAGGCTTTCGACTTAGGCTCAAGCGTAGGCGTATGCTTATAATTAGGCTTAGGATTTGCTTAGGCTTTGGATCCCCTACTTGGCGCAATTTCCCGGCTGTTCCAAGTTGAAGATGACTTGCTGCCCCAACTCTTGCGCCAGATCTCCATAGACGTCGGCGAATTTAGTGAGACACAAGTTGTAGGTGATGTTTGCGAGTAGAACTGAATATTATAAAAATAATTTGGAGTTAGCTAATTGTGTTGAAGACTTGATAATTGCTCCTATGAAAAAGTGGGTGAAAAAGGCTGCGGCTTAGGCTTGGGCTTAAGCTTAAGGTTAGGCTGAGGCTTGGACACAGGCTCATGCTTAAGCTTAGGCTTAGGCTTACTCCCCCGCCTGCACTTCGGCTTACCTAGATTCTCAGCAGGAGCCCCTATCCGATTATTCTCTGCAAACGGAAGAGCAAAAATTTCCCCGCTCGATTCGAGGGGCTCAACGAAAGTCACATCTTCTGTTTTGCCAATAGCTAGTAGCACGGCGAATAAAATTTTAGAATAATTTGAATACCTATCAGCCATCGGAATTCCGAGGCAGTCCGCGAGACAATCGGAATATGAGTCAACGTTTCGATTTTATTTGCCCGCCCCAACTGACCGAAACGATAAAAGATAAAGGGGGAAGGCAGGAAGATACCAATGCACACACCGTTCTTGTTGCAAGCTTTTTAAGTGCCGATGGGTCATAGCGGACGCATACAAAAAGAGGCATGAAGACGCAAAGATTCCGGGAATGTACCTGGGAATGAAACCAAGCGTAGTTATGTTAAGCTTTGAAGCTTAAGCGAAGCCACTCGCAACATAAATGAAAACAAGCCTAAGCCTAAGCCTAAGGCTAACATAAGCCCAAGGTGAAGCCCAAGTTGCAGCCTAAACCTAAGCCTAAGCGTAAGCGTAAGCGTAAGCCTGGGGCTGTACCTATCCTATGCCTAAGCCTAAATCTAATCCTAGGCATAGACAAAAACCTAAGCCTAAGCGTAATCCAACCGCAAACCTAAGCTTCATAAGCCCAGACTTTACCTGTAATGCAAGCCGAAATTCCGTTTGCCTAACGGCCAAGGTTGCCGATGGGCGCTCATCAAAATTTAATGATCGGATGCCTGGGATCGGATGGTGCTTGGCTCAAAATTATGCTACTTTGCCACGCCGTTTCATGCGAGCCGCATAAACTATACCGGGAAGCCAAGAGAAACGCGTTTCTTTCCGTTTGTTGATAGTTCGCTGTCGTAGCCCCGGACGACGAGATTCGCCCCGACGCGCTGCAGAATTACCTCAAGAAGTCCGGCTAAAGAAGAAGATTGGAGGGATGCGTTTCAAACGTTTCCCCGGTTACGCAAATGTTCAAGTGTTCGAGCTCCAAAGTAAGGAAAGTTGGCGCGCTCTCTTTGCGACTTGTTTGCCTTTATAGGTCAGGGTAATTACATTCTAGGTCCTGGGGTGGTCGGACAGGAGTGCGCGTCGGTTCACACCAAACGCGCCTCCAAACTTTCCCCTTTTCCTTGCATCTTTTTAGCTATTTCTATACACGGTCTTCCAATAAAAAGCCTTACAACTCGACTCAGAAGTATCGGAACGGAACGATAGTTACCCCATTTAAAAGCCGTTTAAACGACGAGTTTGCAACAACCTTCAATATCGTAGTTTTATTTAAATCCGCTGGTTTAAGAGCAATTTTGTATCTTTGGCTGTCTTTGGGGTGAATACGAGCTATAGCTTGTTTGTTTTTGTTTAAATGCCGTTTTGTAACAGCTTTCGGGTTTTCGGGGTTGCAGACAGGCCAATTTTCCCCAATTTCTCCAAGTAAAATGACGGGCAGTAACCGTTAATTACATGCAAATACCGTTCCTCAAGGTTTTAAAACCCGTTGTAAAATGGAGCGTTACAATAAAAATCTGTTTTTGAAGATAGTTTCAAATTAGTTGTTCTACCGTATTCACTACCAATAAATCAATCCCTTTAATGCACGTTTTCACGTAGAAATTATCTCTTAAAATTATGGAAAGAAGTTGGCGACGTTCCACGCTCTTAAAATATTGCTTCGGTCCTAAAATGATGCGATACCATCAGCTAAGTGCATCCCTATATCGATCTTTCAGCCGCATGCGCCAATATTTCATTGCAGCCCTCGTCGTTGCTATATTCGTCACGGCTGTGTTGTATCTGGTAAGTGGCCGAGGATGGTTTTAACGGGTTCTAATGCGCTCGCGAGCAAACTTGGTAAGAGTCGTAATTGCTTACGCAGTATCAGGGGGGTTACCTACCAGAATTTCCAAAATCAAAATATCGAATTTTCAGATTGTCGAAAATAGATCTAGATTTCCGGATTCTCGAAAATTAGATCACGAATTTTTAGAATCCCGAATTTTCAGAATCTCGAATTTTATCTCGAAATTTTCATAATCTGAATCACCATTAAAATCTTCAGCAATTCCATGTCTACGCCCTTTTTTCCAGCCTATGCGAATTCTAAAATTTGGGATTCCAGTTTTCAAGATTCTGAAAATTCGAGATTTTGACAGATTCCCGCGCGTCGCGTGTTGCAGTGGCCGTAACGCCCCTAAGAATGCTACCGAAAAATTTTTAGCTGTAAAGGAATAAGGAAGGCGAGCAGAGCCGGTTCTATACGCCTAAGCGAAACGAGCCAACCGAACTGCGCATGCAAAAATGAGCAGAGAGTGGGGCGAGGCCGGAGGGGCAGAGAAGTTTTTAACTAATTCTAGGGTTAAAGCCCGTTTTATGCTAATTTTTCCTGAACCTTCCTGATCCTTTTGAGCTCTAAAAACGACCGTTTAGGCCCCGGCCACCACCTACAGCACCTTTTCAAGGATTTGCACAAGTGATGGGCCATTCGGCGGCACGACATGGGAGGCGATATTCGAAAAATATAGACGTTGCATGCAGCTGCACCTAAACTTGACGACCCCGGAATTGGTCGGTTTTTTGCGGGGTTCCAAACTAATAATTTCAGACGTGGGACCGGGGACCCGAGCTCGCCATCCGCGACTGCTACAAATTCGGGCCACGCGTTATCGCCGTTGCCAATAAGGACGAGCTGAAACAGGTGATGCTGCCAAACGATATGGTGCGTCTTTTGCGGCTCTGCGGAAATGCGTGTTGCAGCTGGCAACTTGCAAATTCGCTACGTTCGGCATTGGGAAGGACGCGACAGCTGAGGAGAAAATTAAGGTATGCGACCTTTCAAAAGGGACTAGGAAATTTAAGCTTAAACCTAGGCTTAAGCCTAAGCATAAACCAATGACTAAGCCTAAGTCTAAGCCTAAGCCTAAGCCTATTTTGAAATAGCACCGTTTAAGCTAACCCAAGAGTGTTGCCTAAGCCTAAGCCTAATGCTTCAGAAAATGCTGCCGAACTGCGAATTCTACGGGGCGGACCCAGTGGAAGATGGGAACAAAGCTGAATATGAGAAGGTTTTTGCCTATTTTCTTCATCTTCATGTTTTCAGGTAGGTTCCTTCCACAAGCTCGCGATTTCCGGTGGCGACATGGCAGAGTCGAGCATTTTGACAAAGGGTGATGGATCCTTGAAAAATGATCAACTAAATTCGTTTCAGCCGGATATCAAGCGCGGCAAAAGATGCCCGCAATGCCGCTGTATCGATTTTTTGACGAGATTGTTAAAAGGTAGAATTGAGGAAAGGAATTCGACAAAAAGTGGAGATTTCAAAAAATGGCAGTTATGGGAAGTATTCAGTCGCTCTCATTCGCTCTTAATTGTTTACTCTCTCCCACTCGCTTGCTCAATCTCGCGCAGGATAGCACTGTCTCGCACTCGCTGCTTCCCCTTTCTCTCTCTCTTGCTCTCACTCGCTCTCTCTCTCTCTCTCTCACTTTCTCTATCTTTCCCCCCGCTCTCTCTTGTCAATTGTAGATGAGCTATCGACGTGCCTGATCAGCGTGGGACTTCCTCATCCCTTTAGAGCTTAAAACCTGAACGAGCAAAATCCAACAACACCTTGTCAAAGCCACAAAAATTCCATCGTTAGCAAACTCATTGACTACCTCTTCATCGCCGTGGAATGGGCCGAGTATGATCTGTTCGAGTTCCTGCAAGCCGAAAAGGCAGCCGGGAGCGGCTTTACCTTTTGCCAGGTTTACCGGCATGGTCGCCCCGATAATTATGAAAAATTGAGGTGAACCTGGAGGTGCACGCGGCGCAGGGCGATACCCATAAGACGCAGTTCAGGCAGTTTGTGCAGCAACTGCTTCGGGAAAACCATTATGCGCTGGCGCACGACGAGATGGCCGCCGGGCACCATCGGTAGTTGTTTCCGTCTGTTTCGCCGAGGGTAGACTTTCCAAAGTTTAACTTTTTTTGTTTTTCAGGCTGTTCTTCTTCAACCAGAAGGCCGAGGAGTGCCGCAGGAAATACTTGCCATTTTCTTGAACGTTTCGGGTCGTTTTCTTTGTACGTATAAAGTATCTCAGGACGCTGTTGCCAGACCAGGAAAAAGTTAAACATGTGCCGGCTTGTTTTGGTTCAAGCCAGAAGCCAAGCAACAGCCTAAGCCTAGTCTAAGGCTTAAGCCTAAGCCCAAGCCCAAACCTATGCATAATCCTAAGCCTATGACTTGGCCTAAGCTGAGCCAAAACCTTGGGCTAAGCGTACGCTTAAGCCGAAGCCGAAGCCTAACTGTAACCCTCTTTTGGTCGAAGTGGAAATTCCGTACGTGAGATAGCACATCCTGTGCAGAATTTTTTGCTGATTCCGAATCCGCTTTCAAAAGTTGCGGAACCCCTCAGATTAAAAAGTTACAAGCGTTTTTAATACCCAAAATTCCACAAATCGCTTACTTTAAAACGTTCTAAAAATTCCGTAAGATACTTTTGGGAGGAAAGTAAGGCGTTCCCCGGGGTAAAAAAACGTGCTCTTTCGAATGGGCTACCTCACGAACCCGTAGCTCAAAATTTGCAAAAAAGTTTTTTTGGCAGACCCTTGCCCAAGATGGTCGATTTTCGAAATTTTCGAAATTTCGAGCTACGGGTTTGTGAGATAGCCCATTCGAAAGAGCACGTTTTTTTACCCCGTACAATGGCTTACTCTCTCCCCAAAAGTATTTTACGGAATTTTTAGAACGTTTTAAAGTAAGCGATTTGTGGAATTTTGGGTATTAAAAACGCTTGTAACTTTTTAATCTGAGGGGTTCCGCAACTTTTGAAAGCGGATTCGGAATCAGCAAAAAATTCTGCACAGGATGTGCTATCTCACGTACGGAATTTCCACTTCGACCAAAAGAGGGTTACAGTAAGCCTAAGCCTAAGCCTTACCTTGCTAGGGGCCTAAAGCAAAGCCAAAGCAAAGCCTAGGGCTAAGCATAAGCCTAAACCTAAGCTATACCCTAATCCGAAGTCTAAGGCAACGCCGAATCAGAACCCAAGCATAGTCCTAAGTCTAGGACCAAGCTCAGGCCAAGCCTTACGCTGGCTTAAGCTCATACGATGCCTAATCCGAAGCCTATGTTGTTTGCAATCATGCCTAGCAATGAGGCTCGAGCCCGGCAACAAGTCTTGCCCAAGATTGTCGCGATATCCGGCCAGCTCCTTGACGATCCGATATGAACTGGATGTCTCGAGATTCGACCCCTCCCGCTCCCGCCAAGTCTCCAATCTTAAAGTTGCCATTTTGGATCGTTTCTGGCTTGCTTGATCGTTTATTTGATGGCCCCACCATTTCAGGAAAACGGCATCAAAATGCGCGTTGACATCCGAGATCTGGTGCTCGGGACGATGACGATCGTGTTTATAATACTGGTAGTGTTAGTATAAGATTCGCGGCTAGAAGGTTAGAGCATAAGGGAGATACATATACCTCACATGTTCTTGCTTATCGAAAATGCCGAAACTCGCAATTTAACGAAATAGGATCGAATCTCCCGAATTTGCCTAATGTCGAAATGGAACGTCATCTGATTTAGGTGTGTCGAGCCTATTATCTCTCCAACGCGTACGCCGACCCGCTCTACCAAAGCGTCGCCGAGCACCGGAGGTGTCTATTGGCGCATAAGGGACTCAGAAACTACTCGACGGTCGGTGATTGAGCCTTAGGCTTAGTTAGACATAGGCTTAGGCTTCGCGATATGCTTAGATTCATGCTTAGGCTTCGTTCAAGCTTGAGCTTAGGCTTAGGCGTAGGCTTCGCTTAGGCTTAGTTTCAAGCTTAGCTCAGCAACAATCAGTTTGCAGACCTTTAACCACGGGCTTCAAACCGCAATCAAGGAGTGCTACATGTTTGGCGCAATCCCGGTCAGCGTGGCGAATAAAGTGGAGATCCGGAAGGCGCTGCCGTTGAAGAGCAAAGTAGGTGTTCAGTTTGGCCGGAAGAGGGCTTGAGTTGCCTTGTAGTCTTAACGGGTATGTCACAACCGCTAGCGAATCCTGAGAGAAAATATCCTTTCAGCGTGATGACTGCATATTCGTGACGCTGGGTATCAACCAGGATATCCGGCTCGAGGAGGTCGTCAAGGTAGTTATTTGGAAGTTAGGGATGAAACGTAATTTTCCAGGTCACCCAGCCGAATTGCAAATTTTTCGGCGCCGACCCGATCGCTGAGGGGAATAAGAAGCGGTATAAAAAGGTATGGCGCCGCTTGGACGCTCAACGCCGCCTATGCTTATATTTGGGCTTTGGCTTAGCCTTAGGTTTAGGCTGAGGATTAGGCGTATGGTAAGGCTTAGGCTTAGGCCTAGGCTTCTGCCCAAAGATCTCAAGCGTTCAGGTCGGCAAATTCTTCAACTACGCCGTCTCATCGACATATCTGATCAAGCCACTCATGTTTTCACACGGTTAATGGCATACATAATACCGTCGTGACCCGCCGGATTTAGGCGGATTTTCCGAGGTGAAGCAAATCAAGCGGAAACCCCTGTACGACTTTTTGCGGTTGGATGTCAAGGAGTGAGTATCTCTTAAAAATCGTAGGGCTTTTAAGAACCCTGATCGACTACATGTTTGTGGACATCGACGAGACGGAGTATGACCTTTTAGAGATGCTGCAGGCGAATATGGCACACTCGAACGGGTTTGCGTTTTGCCAGGTCAGTGTGTAGCCGTGATTTGATTTAAATGGACGACAATGGCCAAAAACTTCCCTTAAATTTACGAAATCTACGATTCAGAAGCCCGCGTCGTTACGTCATCTAACGGATTATTACTTTTTTAGATCGGGCTCAAGCTCCACAACACGGTCGACATCAAAAAGCAAAAGAAGTTCTATGATTTTGTCGTCCGGCTCATCAGGGAAAGCGGCTACACATTGGTGTTTGATGACCAGGTGGCAGAACCGGGATTTTATCACAGGTCAGAGCACTAGATTGCTTCGATGAAAGATTTCAACGGAATTTTCTTTGATGATATTCTAAGCGTAAACCTAAGCTTGAGCCTGATCATAAATCTAATCCCAAGTCTAACTTTAAAGTGTTTTTACTCAGGCTGGCGTTTTGGAATGGGACCATGCCTATCATGTTCCGAATTTTTTGCTGATTCCGAATCCGTTTTCCAAATTTGCTGCGGACTTCGCGTTAAAAAATCATTTGGGGTCTAAATTAAGCTTAAAAACGGCATAAAGTCGGACGCTGGCCCACTATTCCCTGCCTGGGTCTAGGTATTGTTGTGCCCCTTATCTATCCACCTGAAGTCCCCTTCCCAGTTGGCACCATGTTGGTAAAGTGTTCGCTTGCCAGGCACTGGATGGCGGTTCGAACCCCGCCCTGCACAATTTCTTTTGCTTTTTGCACAAAAACAAATGATTGTTTGCATACAATTGCGCTTTGACCTCTAAAACTGTTACCGAGCCAGTTTTAACGTCGGAGGTGACGACAACTTAAAAAATAACGCAAAAAATCCAGATTTAGTCAGTTTTTTTAGTATAAATGCTGAATAACTTTTTAAATAAAAGTCGGCAGTAAATTTGAAAATCAGATTCGGAATCAGCGAGAAATTCTGCACAAGTTAGGCTTGGTCCCATTCTAACCTAGGCCTAAATTATGACGACCCATATACTCAGGTTGTTCTTCTACAACCACCGCGACACGCAATGCCGGAAGAAGTTTCTGCCCCTATGATCCGAGAAGACATTTAAATAAATGGACTTCGATTTTTGTATTGGCCTAAGTGAAAAACAGCCTACTTCAAAGAGCTGTAAGACACGTCTAGACGAAGCCTAACTTGATGAAATATACCATTCGAATCAAAATAAAATTCTCTATCAGATAGGCTACTTAAAATAAATTAAAACTTCAAAATAAAAAAAAGAGCGGCATCATGGCAAAACACTTCTCCGGAGCGAAAATTGACACTAAAACTTCAATATCTCAAGCTTTAAGATCAGTAGTAAATTTGGAGAACGAGGTGATCTTCGGCGTGGTCGATTCTATGTGCAAATTTTCAGCCAATTCTGAGTCTGAGTTTATTCTGGGCTCCCCTGGTCAGTTTTCCGGGTTGTCAACTTCTTATCAATCCCCAATTGCCTTCTTTCCTGCCTCCAAAGATGCAAACTACTAAGACTGGCGAGCCTTTTCTCCAGATGATCCAAATACTATTTATATCTTCCATCGCTGTCCAAGTGATTTTTGGGGCTGATCCGCTTACCGATCGGGTTCGGACGCTGCCCGGGCTCTCCTTTCAAATTGACTACGATGTGTACTCCGGATATTTGAAGGGGAATGTGAACGGCACGTGGAAGATGCACTATTGGTTTTGGTTTTTGGTATTTCAGGAGATTGATTAAGGCTGATAGAGTCGAAGGACAAGCCGAACAGTGATCCGTTGCTCATCTGGTTTAACGGAGGTGGGCAAAAATGTGACAAAATGGTCTGCAAAATAACGAGTTAAAATCAAGTCAAGCTTTTACAGGGCCCGGCTGCTCGTCATTTGGCGGCGCATTCGAGGAAATGGGTCCTTTCTACGTGGATAACGACGGATTTCGGTTGTATGAGAATAAGTATGCATGGAATGCGGTGGGTTTTTCGATAGAATGAGAGAGAGAGATATTGGGAGAGCGAGAGAGCCATAGACGACGAGATACAGCAAGAGAAAGAGAGAAAGCGAAAGAGAGCGAGAGAGAGATAGAGCGAGAGAGAGAGAGAGCGAGAGAGGACGAGAGAGAAAGAGAGAGAACGAGAGAGAAAGAGAGAGAAAGGTAAAGAGAAAGAGAAAGCGTGAGAGACAACGCTTTTTAAGCGAGCCAACCTGCTCTTCATCGAATCGCCTGTCGGTGTCGGCTTCTCGTATAGCACCGACGATTTCCACTACGCCGAGGCCAACGACGATCAGACGACCGCCCAGAACTATATGGCGCTCAAGGATTTTTTCGCAAGGTACCTAAGCCCAAGCCTAACAAGGGAAGTGCACACGACCGGCCCACGAGAAATCGACACGAGACATAGTGGATCTGATAGAATCGAACACGGGGATTCCGAATCTGTAATCAGAATTTGCTAAATAAAACGGAGGAAAGAGTTATGAAGCTTCAAAGTTGGTAAAATCGCCCAAAATCGGACTTTTATGGGCCTGTAAAGGCCCAGGGAATGGAAATTTGCCACAACCCATTAATGCATCTTGTTCAGCAGAAAAAGCGCTTTCGAATGAGCTATCTTACGTCAAGTTTACGATGATTTCGCGAAAATCTCTTCTATGAACTTGACAGGCCATACCCTTGCCCGTGAATCCAAAAAAAACTTTTTTTCAGTGAATTGTTTGCAAATGCTACGTATTACAGCTCATTCGAAAGCGCTTTTTCTGCTGAACAAGCTGCACTAATTCTTTTCTCCTCAATTCCGTTCCCCTGGTATTTACGGGCCCTTAAAATTCCGATTTTGGGCGATTTTGCCAACTTTGAAGCTTCATAACTTTTTTCTCCGTTTTATTTAGCAAATTTTGATTACAGATTCGGAATCCCCGTATCCGGGTCTATCAGATCCACTATGTCTCGTGTCGATTTCTCGTGGGCCGGTCGTGCACTTCCCTTGTAAGCCTAATAAACCTAAACTCCTGAGCCTAAGTCTAAGCCTAACCTTTAGTTTTGCGCAGCCTTTAGCTTCACCGACTACAAGAACCGAAAATTCTTTCTGTCCGGCGAATCTTACGCCGGTGTCTACGTGCCGACGTTGACGCTAGCCTTGGCTCGGGGCATCAATAATGGCGATTTTCCGAATTCGAATTTTCAGGTAGGCTTTAAAAGGGTATATAATGCAAATTTAATGCACCACTTTTAGGGCTCAAATATTGGGAACGGCTACATGCACGTGGAGTACCTCTACAATTCGCAAGTGGTGTGGTCGGCCTACCATGGGATGGTGTCGATGGAGAACGTTTTTGCTATTTACCATCTCTGTTAGGTTGCAAGTTGCGTGTAGCGGCGCGGATAACCCGATACATGCCCTGCCGTTTTCTAATAGACACATACATTCTTGAAAGTTTCAGCGAGCTGAGGTTTCTGAAAGCCAACTGCACCTCGCGCGCTACCGTCATTGGCGACCTCGAAACGTACAGTTTTGTCGATTACATGACGACCGAGGGTCATTTGGAGTACGAATCGGACGGATCGGCGTGCGGGGACGTGGTACGTTTCCTGAGAAAGTTAAAAAACACCACATAATCGTCAGATTGAGCGCCTTGTCAACATGCCGGATATGTGAGTTTTTTTGAGGATTTTCTTTGCAGCACAATAGTTTTCGAGCTGGTTTTTTATTTAAGACGGCAAGCGAATTTAATAAATGTCGAAATATCATAATGCCGAAATTGATGATGTCGAAATTCACAATGTCGGAATTTCATCACGTCGAAACTCCATAATGTCGAAATTTCATAATGTCGAATTTTCAGAATGTCGAAATTTAGGATGTCGAAATTTACATAGGCTAATATTCCCGGTGAAACCCCCGGGATCCTATGCAATTTTCGTCCAATTTTCGTCATTCGCTTGACTGGCAAACTCGAAATATCGAAAATTCCGAAAAATGGTCGCCAGGCAGCCATGCTCACCTACGTTTTCGAGCAATGGCTCTCAAATGAAAAATTTCAATTACATTTTCGTGCGGTAAATTGATTTTTTTCTTCGTTCTCCCCTTTCTTCTTTAGAAATCTTACAAACTTTCCTAAAGCAGTAGTGGCCACGCAAAAACCATAAGCGAATTCTATAACTTCAGGGAAGACGAGTACAACTACTACCAGGATTGCTATGTCGACCCTCCCCTTTTTGCAACCCTTCCTCAAAGACGTTGGGCTCTACCTTAAACCCAAGTCTGGAAAATTCTAGCGAAGCGGATGCAGCGCAGGAAGAATCGAGCCCGCAAGCAGGCGCTCAACGGAATTTTTGACAAGAATGCAGATTCTAGCGGAAATCCAGCCGTGATATTTTTCAGATCCGCGAAGCGGTTTTTTTTACCTGTTCCAAGCAAAAAGTTTTGTTTGGAACATTTTTTTAGACAAAATTCAACTACATCTCGACGGACGGGGAATGGGGGTACCCGTGCTGGAATGATGTGCTGCTGACCGTGTGGGCCAATCGGAAAGACGTGCAGGAAGTTGGCAGCAATTTGTTGCGGACACCTCGTAATTTTCAAGGCGCTCCACATCGACGTGGCGTGGCGGGCCACGAACTTGACGTGGCAAGATTGCAAGTGGGGTTTCAGGATTCTTCGCACGCCTAGCTTAGATTCGGATTAGGCTTAGGCTTAGGCTTAGGCTTGGGTCTAGGCTGAGGCTTCGGCTTAGGTTTAGGCTGGTTTAGGCTTAGGTAGGGCTGGGCTTAGGTGTAGGTTAGGCTCGGGGTTAGACTTAGGCTTAGGCATAAACTTGGGCTAAGCTTGGGCTTGGCTTCAGCTGAGCTTCAGCTCAGGCCCATGTATAGGCTTAGGTTTGGGCTGTGGCTTGGGCTCGGGCTCCGGCTTAGGTTAAGATTAGGGTTAGGCTTAGGCTAAAGCTTAAGCTTAGGCTTACGCTTACGCGACTTAGGCTTCAACTTAGCATTGAACTCAACCAATAAAAACCCTCATTTTTAGCCTATTTCTAGTTCTTTTATTCCATTCCCCAATTTGCCACGTTTTTAGCGATCCAATGTACGACGCATACAACGTGACATACACCGACCTAACGACCATCTTTGAAGATTTCCTAAAAGAGAACCGCAACCCGAATTTCCGCTTCTTAATCCATAATGGGGATGTGGACACGATCTGCAACTATTTGGGCGAAGCGTGGTTTATGCGGCGGCTGGCTGAGCGGAATGCGATGGAGGTAGCTTTGGGCCTAGGCTTAGGCTTAGGTTTTTAGGCTTAGCCTTGCGCTTACAAGGGAAGGTTGTTTGGGTCAGGTGTCCAATCGACTTGAAACTTTGCCAGTGGATAGAAAATCAAAAATAAAGTGGAGTTTCTTAATCTCATTTTTTGCACAATACCCCAATTTAAAAAGTTATAGGTCTTTGAAGTTACATAAAAAAGCACGAAACGACCCGACGATTTTGAGCTGGTCCTCATTGTGGCCTGCCCCCTTTTCAAGCTCTTGCGTCGCCCGGACTGGCAAGCTATTTGGCGCAGTAGGTAGTGTCGTAGATTGCAAAACTTTTTAAATTTTTGTAATCGAGTTCAAGTCTTTGATGCTTCTAACTTTTTGCTTTTTGTATTTTACGCCAACTAACCCTAATTTGCAAGAGCAAAAAGCAAAAAGCAAAAAGATGGAAAAGTTTTAGTTTCGAACTTTTGCCAAAAATTTTTCAAAAGATTGGGAGTCAAACGCACTACCGATTGCGCTAGAAGAGACGTGGGGGAGTGGAGACGAGAGAGGGTCAAGAAATCACGCATGAAGAAAATGTGGAAACGGTGCGGTATTGGTGCAAAAGTCTGCGCAGAACTCATTTTTTAGACCACAAACTTAAAATGCTTATAACTTTTTAATTAGGGGTATTGTGCAGAAAACGACTTAGCGCACCTTGTTCCGTTTTCAATTCTCTATCAACTGGCAAATTTTCAGAAAGATTTGACACCTGACCCAAACAACCTTCCCTTGTTAGTTTGGTGAATAAAGAAAGTAAAGCAAATGGTGCATGTCGGATTCAGGCTTCACCCCGCAGGCAATGGTTCTTCTCGGATCAGACAGCCGGCTTCGTGCAGCGATTCACGCACGGCAGCGGCGTTATTTTTGACTTGATGACGGTAAAGGTGCGTCGTGTCGGGATATCGGGATTCGAATGTTGGCATTTCGTATGTCGAGGTCTTGCCGCTGTCGGTATTTTGGATGTGCGAGCCTGGCTCTTTGCTTTGCCCGGTATTTCACATGTCGGGATCTGGCCCAGTCGGTTTTTTCGCTCTGGATATTTAGAAAGTCGGCATTTTGGCTGTCGCTTTTTCCCGCTGTCGGTATTTTGAATTTCAGGGCCCGAAATGTCGAGTTTTTTTTGATTTTTTTTGCTTTAGGGAGCCGGCCACTTCCCGGCAACCGATCGCCCGGGGCCAGCCCGGCAATTGATCACAAACTTCATGTGGGGCCCCGCGCCCACGGGCCCTGATTATAACTCTACAGCGGTAGGTTGAATTTTGTTACATTGTTAAAACTAGAAATATAAAAATAAGAGATTCGCTCTAGGGCCTGAAGTTGATGCCCACGTTTGCGCCGTTATTGGGTGAAGCCACTTCTGATGCGCCCTCGACGACATCAGGTTTGACGCCAACGACGTCGAAGCTAACGACAACTCGAGTGGATTCGATTTTTATTATGATCACTTTGTATTTATCACTGTGTTTTGTATAAAATTACATATAGATTTCGAGATATTAGGAGCAAGAAATAGGTAGTAATAACTAGGCTTCGGTTGTAATAACTAGCTTCGGTTTAGGCATGCGCTTAGGCCTAGGCTTAGGCTTAGGCTTCGGTTGGGGGCTTAGGCTTAGGCCTAGGCTTAAGCTTAATCTTAGGCTTAGGCTTAGCTTAGCTGGGGCTTAGGCTTATGGTTAAGCTTCAGCTTCGCCTTAGGCTTGGGCTTAATTTATCAGAAACTACCTCAAAATGTTCCGATCCAAAATATCAGAAACGACTTTCAAAAATCTTTTTTCCAATTTTCCCCACGATACTAGTATTTGTAGGACTCGTTGACTCATCGCGTTATGCAGTGTTATTGATTCTCCGCCCCCTCCGGTCCATTTCTCGGGCCTCCCCTCGATTGTCGCCCTCACTCGCCTGTCTGCCTCTTCACCATTTCCCCAATCTCTCATCCCACATCAACCCCCCGGGGCTGTGGGCCGCTGTAAACTTCTCGGGTGCCTGGTCGGGGGAAAGCTACAGCTTTCCGGTAACGCTCATGCTCAAGGCACATTCTCCATTATTATTTCCCTTAACGACTTCAAGATGCCGCAGAAATCCTTACTTCAAATTCCTATTTTTTTTACCTTAAACCAGCGTTGAAAAGCCGCTGCCTGAATTTTCAACCATCAGATCCCATTATGTTCTCCACTCTGCATAATTCTAGCCAAGATTCCCGATGGCAAAAAAAGGGAAATCACTTCTGTTGTCCCAAAAAACACCCTCCAAATCGACATGGCATTATCGAATCGGAATGATAGTTACACCATTCGAACGCCTTTGAAACGGCCAGTTTGTTCAATTTTCAAAACCATGTTTTTATTTTTGGGCGCGTCATTATATAACGCATTAAAAACAGTAAGGAACGGCCTCTGTATCTAATTAACGGCTACTTCCTTTCATTTGCTTGGAGAAATTGAGAAAAAGTGGCTCGTATGCAAGCCCCAAAAACCCGGAAAATTATGAACGGCTGCTAAAATAGCGCATTTAATAAAAACTTGGTTTTGAGGGTCTTAGCAAATTCACCGTCTGAAGGGCTTTCGAATGGGGTAACCATCATTCCGATCCGATACTTCTGCGTCGAGCCAGAGGAGGTGTTGTTTAATATGATTATTTACCCTGTAGTAGGCTTACTCACCATTTTGTAATATACGCTTAGAATTCTGCCTTTTTTCTATTGAGCTTATATGAAAAAAGTTAACTTTATGAAGGGCTTTAGGTAAAAATGATCCAGAGCGGAATGGCCGCTCAGGAGATTCGGCGCCAGGAGACGCGCGAGGTCCGCCAAACTGACACGATGCGCTCCAAGAAGGTAACAGTAATAATTAGTTTTATCCTATTAAACGTAAGACATAAAATATTGTTGACAAAACATGTTTAATGAGCTGCAAAATAGCCTAAAGGGGAAACTATGATCCAAAACTGGTAGCAGGGAAACGCCCGCCTCACGATCTGATTCACCGCTACGCCCGATCATTTCGAAGATTCGTCATCGAGGAAATCGACTTTACTGTATTTTGCTGGCTTCTGAATTGGCTTTTGACGGTTTCAACTATAATAATTTTGCTGTGGTCTCTGCGTGTCTGAGGCCGAATTAAACCCGAACGGGAAAGGAGCTAGAACTTAGGTGTCTTCGGATTCGGATAAGGCGCGGCCAGAAACCCCCAAACTGATCAAGCACAGAATCTAATAAATTCAGTTTCATATTTCAAAACATCGGGGTTAGCGGGCGTAGCCCGCTAATCGGTCTTTGGAATTTGGTAGCAAAAACGACTATGTGCATGATTTTGAGCATAGTGAGCCAGGTCGCGCGCGTTTCGGCGAGCGAGGGAGGAAGCGGCAAAGCCGCCGTAAGCGGCTAGTATTGATGGTAGCCTTTCAGAGCGAATCGTTCATGGACAAGCTATCCGGCACGCTCGGCCGTAAGAAGAAGCCGGAGCCGACGGAGGGCGGGGCGCCACACCACGAGGGCGACCACCGCGAGAACGAGCACCAGGAAATGATCCAGGTATGAAAATCTGTGCCTAGAAGTATCAAATCGTTTTTAAGATTCGGAGTTTTAGCGGATTTTAAGGAATAAACACAAAACAGGTCAATACAACGAATGCCTTACCCCCATTCGATTCCAGAATCGCCCTGACGACGCGTTCCCAATAAAACCGAAATTGGACGGGATCGTGGTTGTCTGCTTTCAGGCTTTTTATTTTTGCGTTTTCTAAGTTTCGCGCGTTCTCCTACTGCTTCTGAATCTATTTCCAAGATTGCTCTATGCGAAAAAAATAGAATGACACTTTTTACAGTACGAGCACGAGGGCCGCGAGGCGCTCGACTACGCCCTTATCCCGGCAATTTCCAAGAAAATCGAGATTGAGGAAGGTGAGCTTTGACAGAAATTTGAAATCCATGGTCACATATGCAGTGCACAATTAACAATTCCGTAATTTAGGGGCAGAGCGACGTTTCTTGACCCGCGAATCGAGCGAAGACTCGCGGATTCACGAGGTGATCCGGCTCCTCCTGGGGTGAGCGTTGAATTCGTTTTTATCTACCTAAAATGTTGGTTTTTGCATGAAAAACGCAGTATTGCAAAATGCGCGCAATATCGACAATAGAATTGATTATTATATTTAAGGAAACTAAAACTGCTTGGTTTCTGGTTTTTTTAAGGAGTTTCGAAGCGTGTAAAAAATCAGGCCAAGATTTTCCGATGTAAGCTTAAGCCAAAGCCGAAGCCTGGCATAAGAGTCAACCTAAGCCTAGTCTAAGCCTAAGCTCAGCTTAAACTAACCCTAAGCTAAGCTTAAGCTAAGCCTAAGCCTAAGCTAAGCCAGGTCCCCTGAACTGAGCCACTTGAATTCTTTTGCAGCTGGATCAACGATGAAGTGGCCGGGGAGCGCATCGTCGTCAAGAACATCCAGGATGACATCTACGACGGCCAGGTCCTTCAGAAGCTCATCGAGAAGCTGGCGGATATTAGGGTGGGTTTGGGATTAAAAGACGACGCGAAGAAAATCTTTACAAAAAATTGACAAAATTGAAAAAAACAAAACAAAGCTTTCAGATCGAAGTGCCCGAGTTCTCGCAATCCGAGGAGGGCCAAATCCAAAAGCTTGAGATTGTCGTCTCGACGGCCAATCGGCTGCTCACCCCCGGGCAATACGAGAACCCAAAATGGACGCATCAGATGATCCACCAGAAGGTACGTCCCATGCACCAGGCCTAAATTGTGGGCTTAGGATATCGTCGCCATCATCCAGCTGCTCGTGTCGTTGGCCGTCTTCTTTCGGGCGCCCGTACGATTCCCCGAGCATGTCAGCGCCCAGGTATGGCAAGGGGAGGTTTGGGCTTAGGTTTTGGCTTTGTCTCTGGCTTAAGCTTAGTTTTACGCTTAGACTTAGGCTTAGGCTTAGACGTAGGCCTAGTTTTAGGCTTAGGTTTAGGCTTAGGCTTAGGCTTAGGCTTAGAATGAGACATTGCATTAGGTTAGTTTTAAGCTTAGGCTCAGGCTTAGGACCAGCCCTAGACTTTTACTTAGATTAAAGTTTGGGCTTACGGTTACGCTTGGCTTTAGGCTTCGACTTGGGCTTCGACATAAGATTTAGGCTTCGAATTGTACTTTATCCTTACGACGGATAAAGGAAATTTTAATCCGATTTCAGGTGATTGTGGCGCGAAAAGAGAATGGCCAAGTGAAAACGCGGTACACCACCGAACAGCTGACAGATAAGCAGGATGAGCTGTGCCCGAAGGTAAGTAGGAGCTCCTAAAAACGAAAAAGTCAATTTCCTACTCCGAATCAAAGGAGTCTCCGAATCTGCAACGTTTCTAATCGCTGTTAATTAGGGTGAACGTGACGCCTTCGACACGCTGTTCGACTACGGACCCGACAAGTTGGCGCACGTGAAGGGGTCGCTGCTGGCCTTCTGCAACAAGCATCTCAACAAGATCAACCTGGAGGTTGGCGGCAATATCGAGGGCTACTATGACATCCCATCGTCTAGGTGAACAACATCGAGACCCAGTTTCAAGACGGCGTCTTCCTGGTGCTGCTCATGGGGCTGTTGGAGGGCTATTTTGTGCCTCCGCACCATTTCCACCTCCAGGTTTTTCTTATAATCGGCTAGAGCAAAGTGATAAGATTGATAGTTTTCATAAGATTCGGTAGAAAAAGGAAATTCAACTGAAAGCTGTATTCCGCTTTTCAGGTGTCCACGCACGAGGAAAAGATGAAAAACGTCCAATTTGCATACCAGCTGATGGACCAGGTCGGCATCAAGCCGAAATCCAGGGTAAGGAACAATCTCATATTTTCAGATTTTCCCGCTTCTCTTTAGGCTTAGGTTTAGGCTTAGGCTTAGGCATAAGCTTAGGCTTAGGCTAGGCTTATGCTTGGCTTGGGCTTAGGCTTAGGCTTAGGCTTCGACTTAAGCTTAGGCTTCGAGCACGCAAAGCGATGAAGATTATACCGTGTCGTTCAGGTGGCTGACATTGCTAACGGTGACGTGAAGTCGACGCTTCGCCTTCTCCACCTGCTCTTCACCAAGTATAAGCACGTCTAGGTCAGTTTCAAAGTAGCAGTATCGGCAACGAAAGAAAAACAGGTATTTCCAATTGAATCTTTGGACATATTTAGCCTTAACATTTGATTTATGATTTATCAACTTTCCCCAATCAGCTTGTACGTTTAAAGTGCGTATGACACCTTTTCAGGAACTCGGTCCGGATGCCGAGCGCTTAGAAGAAGAACTTGAGCACATTGTACAATCGCTAGAGCCCCAAACTACACAACGGCATGAGCAGCAAAGCTATGAGAATCCTAAGTATCGTTCAGTTCCCGACTCCGAGACGTCGGATCCCACTAATAATCCATGTTTTCACGATTTCTTGGCTCTATCGGTGTGCTTTCGATATCAATGTGCCCATCCCTTCTTCTTGGCCGCTAAAATCCGCCCCGGGGCCCACCCGGTGTCTCAAAAAATGCCCTAAAAATTTGCTCAAAGCCGGGTGGGCCCCCGTCCTCTGATTTTATGACCGCGTTCCCGTCCGGACGTAAACTCTCTGCCGTTGCCCACTACCCGTTTTATTCGCCTATTGCGTCCTATGTTTTTGCTCACATCGATGTAATATCGCTACGCTAAGAGTAAACCAGAGCCCAAACCAAAAACTATGGCTAAGCCCACGCCTGGGTCCAAGCCAAAGCCCAGCCCAAGCCTAAGCCTAAACGAAGCGGAAGCCAAACCGAAGCCTAGGTCTACGCCAAAATCTATGTTTGTACCTAAGCCTAAGCCCAAGCCAAAACCTAAGCCTATGCCCAAGCTCAAGCGCCTTGTTTTCAACGATGCCTTTTTGTTATTCCTCAAGCATCACTGCAAGCCATAAATTGTCTGCTCAATTTTCGTCCGTTTGCAAGTGTTGTTTTAGGTCAGGTCCAATAGATGCACAATACGCGGCCGTACTTTACCGGGCCAGCAAGTGCCTAAAACGACATAGGTATTTGAATAGATTTGCTGATGTTCAATATCCCGAAAGTTACTTCTCGGAAGTTCGAATTCCGGTCACTACCCCGAAATCCGTTTCGCATAAAGCCCATATCGCCTAAACTCATTTCGTCTAAATTTTTGGCCAATTTCTTAACTGAGTTTTTGGCCAGAAAGTCGGCAATTCTCGAAATTTTCGTACAGCTTGCTTCGTACAGCTTAAAAATATTTCTTGAATTTCTTCAATAAAAACCATGCAACTTCCTTCAAAACGTGATTTACAAGGAGTTTTTACACTTATGTTTATAAAATAATAAAACACTCATATGCATTTCGAAAACTCGTGATTTTTTGGCGAAAATGCAGTATTAAAAAAATTATCAATTTTCTGAATCAAAAAATCAAAAAGTTCAATGCGAGAAAAATGAAAATGCCATATGCGCTTTAGGTGAAATGGGTAGGCAACGGGACTTAAGCGAAACGGGTTTTCGGCGACGCGGGTTTGGGCGAACTGGCCGTCATCCCCTCAGTTTTTTGCATGTACAGGCTACTATGGGGCCGAGAAAGCAACCTTAGAATTTTCGTGACGCTGCGTCAAGCCTTCATTACGCGTTATCATACCCAAGCGCTTCTGCGATTCTCATTAGTGCAGCAAAGGCCATACCGATAAGGGCAGTTTGGCGCCCAAAACGTATCAATTCCGGGGAATGTCAAGGATCGAGGTATCACATGTATTTATGTGTATACGATCCCCTTAAATCTCTTTTGGCCTGCCATGCCACCACTCTATGCAATTTCCATGCGCCCCGACACCTACTCAACGATACCCGAAAAACGGTGGTGAGGAGGAGGCGGCCGTTATGGGGGTGTCTTATGGAATGGACAATGGAATAACCGGCCCCGCGCAGCTCTGTGGAAAGTCGCCGCCGAAGTGGAGGGCGTGAAAAACGGCCGGCCTCCGGCGAAAGTACCGCCAATTAACGGTGGCCTTGGGCAACTTTTAGCACGAGACCAATAAGGGGCACGACATTTGAGGCTGTCTGCTTTGAAAAATTGTAGCTTCAAATAAACATCGGGAAGAGTTTACTTTACCCCCCCCCCACAGCCGAAGGGTCTCAAAGTTTTCGGTATTATCGCTAGTTTTGTCGGTTTTTTTTGCAACGCCATTCGATAGAGCGTCAAAAAATATATTAGGCCTTTGAATTTGAGCCTACAATAATGTAAAATAAAATGGTAATAGCCAAAAGGGGGTATTTTTTTTCCGACACCCGGTGTGACCGCAAGCGACCATTAAAATTTCTAGAATTGTTTTTACCGTGGTTTTTTCCAATTCAAACGCTTTTTTTCGGTTAAACTGTCCACATTGAGTCTTCAGGCAACCGACGGCTTCAAAATAAGACCGGTAAGTGAAAGAAGGGCGCCGTAATGCGTTTATGCCCACACCACAAAGAACCGAATTTCCCTGCCGGTGCAACCACAAAATCGAGCAGACGGTGGAACTGATCGAGGTGGACGGGTGACGGTGCTGGAATAACAATCTTTTCCCTTGCATGCCATCCGGCCCGGAGGCGGTTGTTTGTTGTTTAACGTACAGGCCGTCCCAACCCCCCCCCCCCCCCCCTTCTAGCTGACGTAGACGTGTCTGATTTTTACAATTTAGGTATTTATCGAAAGCTCTCAAATAGGCGAGGTAAGCACCGTCATTCCGACTACCGAAATTTCGAAATTTTTGCTCGATTTTTGACATTTTTCATGCAAAAGGACACGCTATTTCCAAAAACTCCATTTAACCTATTTAAGCGCTATCCGAACGGTTTTCGCAAACGGTTTTCAGGAAGGTGCAAAGGCTTTCGTGGGGCTGCGAGGAAAAGCGTAAAAATCCTGAAATTGTGATTTTTGTAAGAAACCCAGGCTCGTTCTGAGGCTGAGGTATAGGTTTAGAGGCTCATGTGATAAAATGTCATGGGGATTTCCTACCAGGATGGCGAAACCCATATTTTTCAACAAATTTGCTAGCAGAAATTTCATGGTGCTGCAAATTTCGACCAGCGAATTTTGCCATGTACAATCGTAATCCTATACTTACCACTGCGACAATCAAATTATCCCGTTATTCTGACTACCTCCCGATACCTTAAACTGTCCCAGAAGTCCTGGGAAGTCCAGTGCGTTGTTTATTCAAATATTGTCTGCTGCCACCACCCAGCTGGCGGCTCGCTTGGGAAGGGGCGGGACTTGGAGCAGCCCCTGGGAGGAACCGCCCCCGCGACGAATTTCAATTGAGTCGTGCTGCCATCGGTCGCCGGACACATTTCTTTTGATTTTTTATAGGACCGCTTGGGGTTTTTGACGATGCAATTTCTGTAAAAATTCTGATTGTCTTCGCTTTGACTGAAATTTCCTCTTGTAATCGCTGCTGTCGAGGCAAGCAATCCGAGCCTCAGGACTTCAATTTGGGTCGAATCTGAGGGAGCGAGAGAAGAGAGAGATAGAGAGTGAGAGAATGAGCCAATGAATGGGAAAGGAGAGAGAGAGAGAGAGAGAGAGGCGAGAGAGCGAAAGCGATGGAGAGAGAGCCAAGAGAGTCAGATCAGAGAGACCGAGCGAAAGATTAGAGAAAGATTAGTGAGAGAGAAAGCGAGAGCGAGAACGAGCAAGAGAGAAAGAGAGAGTGAGAGAGAGAGAGAACAAAATCCAAAAAATACTAGATCTCAAACTTCTTTCGAACTCCCCGCCCCTTCGAAAAACCTGTGTCGCGTTGTGTAGGTCCAGAGAAAGCAGGGCTGCTTGGCTGGGGCTACGGCCAGCTCCTATGGTAAGCCCCGTTTGGGGGCGACGTCCCGACGCCAGCGGCTGATCCTACCCTCAAACAATCTTCGGGCCCTGGGGCCATCTCTGGGGACGACCTGTAGGGGTTACGGGAGGGAGGAGCTTCTTCTCTTCTCTTTCTTCACCCTTTCCCGTTTCTCGGACAAAGTTCTGTAGCGTGAGCTTTTTTGGTAGGTCTTGGAATTTACTCTTCGCAGGCCCCGGAGTTTCTGGGCATTTGCTTGGTGTTCCGCTCTCTCTCACTCTCTCTCCTCTCTCCTATCAGAAATAGCTTTTCTGTCCCTGCCTTGATTTGTATGTGTCTGGCTCTCTATCGCTCTCCATCTGTCTCTGTCCCTATCGCTCTCTATCTCTCTCTCTGTCTCTCTCGTTCTTTCTCTTTTTTCTTTCTCTCCCGCCAAACGGTTTGACACTGTGCGCCCGGAACATTGAAAGCACAACGGATTACACCCCCTACCGCCTTTCCCCCATCCCCATTGTCCACACTTTTGTATCCCAAGGCGTCGTTTCACGACCCGGCCGGTTAGCGCGTTTTTTGGAGCTTTACGTAGTGGCCCTGGCCTGGCGGAGCTTCCAGACGAATTTTTATCCACGATTTGCTTTTGAAGATAAATCCGCTTTGGAATCCGCTGTCGACACGAAGTCAAACGATTCCGCAGCTTTCCAACCCTTTTATTTTTATTGCTACTTCTAAGCAGTCATTTTCCTGAGTCCGGACCGGGCCTTTCCCCAGCCAATACGAACGCTCCATCACTCATCCATAAGAAATTAGGCACCCAGGCTTTTTCCCCATGGCTGCGCTAGGCCCTAAAAAAATCTCTAACATCACCCATCCGACCGGGAACGGGCGCCCTCCGCCCGACCCGGCATTTTGATGCAAATTTGATGGAGCCTCGGGTGCGTTCTTTCGGCCAGCCTGGATCTGTAAAGTTTGAAGGAATTGGCTTCTATTGAAACGAAGTCACAAAATATTTTAAGCGGTTCAAATTTCATTTAGGTACTCGGCTTGACCTGGGCTGAAGTTTAGGCTTAGACTTCGGCGTAGGCTTGAGCGTAGGTTTCAGTTTAGGCTAGGGCTTAGGATTAAGCTTAGGCTTGGGCATCGGCCTAAATTTCCGCCTAGGCTTAAGATTTGGCCAGGCTTAGGCTTAGGATTTGACTTAGGCTTACCTTCGGCTTTGGTTTGGCTTAGCTTTGGTTTGGCTTAAGCTTTGGCTTGGCGTGGGCGTTGGTAGAGGCTTGGCTTGGGCTTAGGCTTACGCCTAGGATGAGGCTTCGGCTTAGGCTTAGGCTTGTGCTTAGATCTAGGCTTAGGCTTAGGATTTAACTTGGGGTTATGCTTCTGCTGCTGCTGCTGCATTCGGTTCATTCTTGTTTTGCCGCCTTCTTATAGTCTCGCTCATTTGTATTTAACCTCTGAAATGGATAAAAATGGACATTGAATATGATCGTTAAAGTCAAAAATTTTTTTAAAAGTTTTGTGGTTGAAGTTTTTGGGACTGGGGTAGACACTCTTCCTTACCATCCCTCATCCAAAAAAACTCGTCGTTTTCAAATCCTTCTTTATCCATGGCGTCGTTGTTCCTGTTCTCATCGTCCTCGAACAGATATCCCTATAAATGCCCACAACCCCAATCCATTTCAGGCACCAATCCACCGAACGGGATAGATTTTGCCCCATTCCACCCGATCGCCTCCCCCCCTAACTATTCAACCATCTGTTACCCCTCCACCACCACTGTACACGCCACAAAAAGCCTCTGCCTACCCAAGGCCGAGACAATCCGGGTTGACATTTCGATAGCCCCCGCTAGCCAATTACATCCGTGACGCGACTGCCGGCCGATTCCGCTACTTCCCGCCCTACGTTTATGCCCTATGGACATTTTTTTGCTGTTATTCTCTGCCGCGGCGATCGCGTTGCCTGGTGGGTTTTTAAAATAATTAGTAATAACCAAAAATCAAAAAAATTTTGAAAAAATGTAGTACAAAGGCTTGGCATCAAGCGAATTTTTCAGCACTTTTTAGGTGAATTTTTATAAAAATGCTGATTGTTGCAATTTGGTCTTGCCGATCCGGGTTAGAAATCGTTCCAAAAATCCCGCGCAAACACCGTTGCGCTCTGCCTTTGAATATTTTTTGGGCATTAGAAAGCCACACGGATGCAAGTTGCGTCTCCAATGCTCTTTGCTAGCTTGCTCGTCTCAGCTGGAATTTTCTCGAGTTAAGCACTCTATTATTTTTCAGGTATCTACCGCATTTGGGTGTGACCAATTGGAAACATAAAAAACTATTAGGTCCTTAACCCCAATTCCCGGGAGTGAAGTGGCATTTTCTGCCTTTAGGCATCTCTTTTGTCCGCATCTCTCTGTCTATCTGTCTCTGTCTCCCTCTCCCCCTCTCTTTTTGTCACTCGCGCGCTCTCGTTCATTCTTTTTTAGCCTCTCTCTTCTCTCACTAGTTCTCTCTGTCTCTCTGGCTCTCTGTCTCTCTCAAGCTTTGTCTCTCTCGCTCTATATATCTCGCAAGCGTTGTCTCTCGCTCGATCGCTCTCTATCTCCCACTGACTCTCCCTCGCTCTCTCTCTCTCCTTCTCTCTCTCGCTCTCTCTCTCTCTATCTCCCGCAAGCGCTGTCTCTCTCGCTCTATCGCTCTCTATTTCTGGCTAGGGTTCCCCTTCTCAGGTTTGGAATTTTGTTATGGTTGGAAAAATCGTAAGCAAAATTTCGTGCTTCAAAAAACGATCCGGTCAAATGCTCGGATTTTAATCTGCAACGAATTCTTAGGGAATTCTAACCGATTTGACCGCATTGCCGCATTGCGTGTAGCGGGCGACGCAAATTCATAAGGGCCTTTTCCGTTTAAGCTTGACAACGGCCTGCTTAAGGGTGCAGTCGATGTGTCTATATGGATTATATGCCCTGGGGCTACGACTGGCGGGGGTGAGCACAAGAAAAGGGGTAATGCGGCTTAGAGGGTGCAAACACGCACTTCAGAACCAACCCTACCCCCCTCGATTGGCAGCTCGCTATGAGCCGCACGACGATAGTTATGCAAGAAATCGTGGTCAGCGGGGGCAAAAAGTCAGTGGAAATTCATATTTTTACAGTCATTTTGCTAGAATTTTTATCGCCTACCGCCAATCGGAAAGGGCGACCAGTGATAGAAAGAAAGAGTCTGATCTTTGTAAAAAACGTTCGCAACAAAGGTTTTTCACAAAGAAAAGCAGACTGTCGAATTCAGACTGTTAAAATTCAACATGTCGAAAATCATGCTGTCGAAACTCATAATGCTGAAAATTATACTGTGGATACAGAATTTCAAAATATCACCAGCGCTGACCCCCCGCTCCGCGGGGGTTCAGCGCTGGCCCTCCCGGGGGGAAAAGGGAAAAACATTCTAAAATAGTAATAATAATAAATGGTAATAAATAGTAATAAATCAACATCCCATACACCGAAATCCCGAAACCCCGAAACGCCCCGGGCTCCCGGACCCGTCCGAACCGGTCCTGGCGGTCCCGCAGCGATCCGGTCGGACGGACGGGCGGACGGACGGGCGCACGGACATTAGAAATTTATATATAAGTGATATATAAGTGATAACGTCGAAATTCAGAATACCGATAGTTTTTGCGTGTCTTTTGAGGTTTTCTCCGGGAATATCAGTTTATACACATTTTCTCATTTTGAATTTCCAGTTTATAATATTTCGACGTTAAGAATTTTCGGTATTATAAAATACAACATTTTGAAAAACCCTGAAGATATCCTTAGTCGCCACGACCACAGTACCATCAAAATCACAAATTTTTATAGTCGATTCCGCGCAGCTGCTCGTCGACCCGTCATTTCTGTTGGTGGAGGAGGACTGGCCGCTCGAGCAACCGCTACCGGTCACCATTTGCCCGGGCAGTGTGCGAATTTTACAAGGTAAACATCATTCCAGATTTTCTCTCATTCACCCCTAGGCGACGCGCAGAAGACGTTCTCCGTCGCCCGGCTCAACGAATCGTGTGCCACGCTGAAGCTGAACAAGGAGCTCGACGCGGATGTGAGCCGGGTTGAGATTCGATTCCAGTCACCCCTAATTGACACCCGGCTGTTGTCAGGGTTTCATTCATTTCATTTCTGTCAATTCGGGGCTGGGTCATCTTTTAGGTGGTCACAGCGCAGAGGCAGTGAGAGGGAGGGGCTAATCTAATCCCTGATTGGCCCCGGGGACTCTGTCACCAAATATTAGTGCCCGGAGCGGACCGGGATGGTGTCCCCCAGGGGAGTTCAGACTTTTGGGGGCCGCCTTAACGTCGAACACAACTCATCGCTTTTTTACGCGAATCGGGGTCGAGGCGGCGGGCTAGAGCCAGGCACAAGCTTAGGCTTAGACTTAGCTTTAGGCATAGGTTAAACTTAAGCTTAGGCTTGGGCATAAGCTTCGGACCATGCTTAGAGCTTGGGATTAGGCATATACGCAGGCTTAGCTTTAGTCTTAGGCTTAGGCTAAGACTTTGGCGTAGGCTTAGTATAAATGTCGAATAACCTCTTAAATAAGGGTCGGCAGCAGATTTGGAAGCTTATTCGGAATCAGCAAAAAATCCTGCACAAAGTAGACTACACTTTAGGCTTAGGATTCAGGCTTGTCATAGTCGTCGGCTGATTCTTTGTTAAACTATCTACCAAACTAAATGAAGATCCTAGGAGCCCTGTTTCCAAGCTAAGCCCAAGGTTTGATGCGTTTTTACACCCATCTTACCCCCAAATCTGCCCCAAATTGTGCCCAACCGCCCTCTGGGCCCAGAGTGACCGATTGGAGGGTAATTAGCATGTATTATTAATGTCGGCCCGAGCAGAGGGCAACGATGATAGCAGATGACGGCAAGGCTTCAATGACCCTGGTTCCGAAGCGAGGAGAGAGTGGCAGAGAGCGAGAGATCGGCAGGGATAGCGAGAGAGAGAGAGAGAGAGAGAACGCTGAAGTCGTACCATTTTGGACACTGGGACCCCTGGCGGGGCCCATGGTGCAATTAAGTCCCCAAAATGTGCCCGGGGCTACGAGGGGGGAGACCAAGTGGGGAATCGCAAAAACGAGATAGCTAAAATACCCAACTATTCAAGGGGGGGCTCTAATGTAGATCATTGTGGAAAGAGAGCTAAAAACCCCGGGTACGTGGCAGAGACCTTTGCAGTTCTTTGGCCTTGAAGCATGGCAAGCACCTTCAGAAGCCAAACCCTCTATTAATTAGCATCTACCTCCGCCACTCCTGGCAGTAGTGCTACACTCGGGGCACCATTTAGGAAACCATACAACGGTATCGCCACGCCACACTAAGCCTCATATTAGGAGTCCCGTCTTGGTCTTAATTTGCCGCGGAGGATTCCGATTCAATTCGAAATCCGAACGGCCGGATGTGGGTCGAAGGGGATTTTGAACAGCACTGCGTCCATGAATAGGCGATGCGCGGATTGCGACTTCGCGAAGGAGGGGTAGAACGTTCCCACACCTTGAAAGGGACGTCAAGAAGTTGGCTAACGTCCATGAATAGCTAGGGGGTTCGTCTGTCTTTTGCGGTGATACGGGCCCGGGGAAGGGATTTGTCTGAAGAAGACTGGCATACCGAAGTCTTAATCTTAGGCTTAGGCTTAGGCTTACGCTTGGGCTTGGGCTTAGGCTTAGGCTGAAGCCTAGACATAGGCATCGGCCTCGCACAACCCAAATACTGCACGAACGAATGTGATCACATATGCGAACTTTTACACACATTTCAGAAGGAAAATGCCGACGGGTTGCGCTGGGAATCGTTCTCGTTAGTGCTGTCCGGCGCTCAGAAATCGCGGGCCACCCTCGAGATTCAGGTATTGTCGAAAAACGGCGTCTAGACGTTACGTTTCCGGGGGTATGATGCGTCAAAATTTAGGTGGTGGACGTCAACGACAACGCCCCCGAATTCCTCAATGTGCCCAGCAGCATCAGCGTGTTCGAGGTGGGTGCAGTCCTGATTTTTTCTGGGTGTTGACTCATTGAGATAAAAATCATTGACGCATTGATAGGCTTTATCACACGTTTTAGGACGCGCCCGAGGGGTCGGCGATTCTGAAGCTGCGCACCCGCGACCCGGACACTGGTATTGCTGGCATGGCTGTATACACAATCGATGTAAGTGCTGAGGCTTAGGCATAGGCTTAGGTTTGAGGCTTAGGTTCAGTCTTAAGCCAGGTTTAGGCTTAGGCTTAGGCACGTTCGGGTTTAGGTTTAGGTTTGGGCTTAATGCCAGCTTTCTTCGTAACCTATTTTTTCAAGGATGACCGCTTCACGATTGACAAGCGAAAATGCGGCAATGGCGAGTGTTGGACAACGCTGCGCGTGAAGGACAAGCTCGATTTCGAGAAGCAGAGGAAACACCTGGTATGATACTTCATTGGCTGTTTAGGAGAAATACCTAGCTAAAAATCACGGCCCGCGACGGGGACCCAACAAAGAATCGATCGCAAGAGACGAGCGTCCTGCTGACTGTTCATGTGCTCGATGCCCAAGAGTCTGTTTCGGTCTTCATCTGCAATGGTGTATTTTAGCCAGCCTCCACTGTTCATCACCGACGTCTCGCAAACCTTTCTGGTGCAGGAGAGCGCAAACGTTGGAGATGTGGTAGGTTTTCGAAAGCCGGCTTGCCCGCTCGAGTCTTCACAAAAAGGGCTTTGAGACTGCCCTAGGAGTACGCCATTAAACTTGGCGCGCGTCATTTAGTGTAGCGCGTAGCTGCCGGGAAAGTGCCGTCATTAGCACTTCACGATCCATTTTTGCTTTCTAGGTCTTCGAAATCCGCGCCCGGGACGGGGACGAGGCGGCCGAACGGTCGAACCCGATACGGTACACCCTGCAGAAGAATGAATTCTTTGGTGAGACATCGGCATTTCATCAGAATCGGAATCCCTAAAATGCGTATCACACAATTTAAATATCTGGTTCTTTCGCATTATCGGGGCGGGGGGGGGGGAGATTTCCCTTCAAAATATTTTTATTTTACTAAAAATATTGTTAGAATACTTCCTATTAAGACCCCAGTCATTGTTCGACCAATACAAAAAGTGTTGATATTGAAAAAACATAACATCGTTTTGATGTGAAATTTTAATGATTTGACATGAAAGTTCAACTTCGTGATTTTAGAAATTGACGAGCGGAGCGGCAACGTGAAATTGCTCAAACATGCCGACGAGGCCCTGCTTCTGCGGCTCGGCGTGACGGTAGGAGAGTCGCGCAGCGGTCGATGGACTCAATTCCAGGCAGCCGAGGAGGGCGAGGGCCAGATGAGGAGCGAGGCCGAGCTGAAGATCCAGTTCGTCAAGTCGAGAATTTTGGAGAAGGCAGGGCGCACTCGGAACCGTTCAGTAGTTTTCCAGGCCCTCTCCTCTCATCCTGCTCCGAAACTGAGCCAGAGCCTCGGCAAGTTGTGTGAAAAAGAGGCGTATGCGATGCGGATTCGGGAAAACGCGGAACAATTCGAGTTGCCGGAAGTGATCCGGTTGACGGAGAAACAGGTATACGCGTTAAATTCGGAATGTAGGAAGGATTTGTACTACAGGAGACCAAAAAAAACTCCCCGCTAGCGATTCCAAAAAAAACGTGTATTGGGATAGGTTTTTTAAACATTCGAAACGCTGTAAAAACGGGCTTTCTAGGACAAATCCGCTCTGCGCTTGATCGGCGGTGCCGACATCTTTGGCTTCAAGCAGGCCACGCCCGACCAGATTGAGATCGTCGTGAAGAATCAGAAAAAGCTCGATTTTGAGCAGACGTCAAACTACAGCCTGAAGGTGAGGAAGGAGAGATAGAGAGAGCGAGAGAAAGAGAAAGAGAGAGAAGGCCGGCGTGAGAGACACAAAGTTAGAGGGGTAGGTCGAAAGAGAAAGATATAATGATAGAGATGGATAAAAACGCGAGGGAGAGAGATATCTGCTCACAGGGATATAGAAAGAGAGCGAGAGAGAGGAGGGAGATAGAGAGAGAGAGAGGGAGCAAGCTAGAAAAATTCTACCATGGCTCACAAATCCAAAATCCAAAATAAAAATCCAAATTTTCCTTTTTTTAACATTTTTTCAGCTCTCCTCCCCTTTGGGAAGCTGCAACATTGAGGTGCTAGTCGTCGACGTCAACGATAACCCACCGCATTTTGCCTCCGACGGCTACACGTTCTACGTGCGCGAAAACGAGGCCGCCGGCGAGATCGGGCAGGTCAAGGTCGGAATTTCTTGTGACCCTCAAAATCATGGCGCGCCATTCCAGGCGGCAGATGAGGATTCGGCCGACTACGGGCCAATCGAGTACCAGATCGTCGGCTCGTCAAAGAACATTTTCACCATTGACGGCGACGGGCGACTGTCGACGACAAAAGCGGTCGACAGGGAGCGAAATACGAATTTTACGTTCTCGGTGCGGGCAACGGATCGAGGCGGTGAGACGACCAGAATGTTGAAATCTCACATTTTCAGGAAAATTCACGGATGTCCCCGTAAAAGTGGTGGTGCGCGATGCGAACGACAACGCGCCAACATTTGAAAGTGACCACATTGTGATTGACGTCGTCGAGGAGGTGGCAAGCAAGCACAGAATTACGGTACTATCCTAACGATTGGCTGGTGAGGATTTAGGCGCGGGACGAGGATCTTGGAGAGAACGCGCAGCTCACCTACACAATCAGCAAGTTGCCGGAGGGGCTGCCAATAGATATGAATAACGGTTGGTGAATGAGGCCGCAGCTGAGGCCTAAGCATGCCTAATCTAAACCTAAGCCTAAGTCTAAGTCTAAGCCTATTCCCAAATCCAATCCTAAGCCTAAGCCTATTCCTAAGCCTATGGGAGCCTAAACCTAAGCCAAGCTTAAGTCTAAGTCTAAGCCTACGCCTAATTCCAAGCCTTAGTCTAAACCGAAGCCTAAGCGGAAGCCTAAGCCTAAGCCTGAGCTGAAGCCTAAGCCTAAGCCTGCCTAACCTAAGCCTAAGTCCAAGCCCAAGCTTAAGCGGAACCCTAAGCCTAATCCAATCCGAATCTCTACTTTTCAGGGATCCTGTTCGTGGGACGAATTGACCGTGACTCCTTGTCTGTACACCCGATCGAGCTCGTGCTCACCGCCACCGATTCCGGGAAACCCCCGTTGACGGGCAGCACAAATATTACGATCCGCGTCGAGGACACCAACGACAACCGCCCGCAATTCAGCGCCCCGCACCACGCGTTCAACCTGGACAGAAACCTCAACCCGGGAGAGACGTTGGGAAAGGTTTGCGCGATTTGCTATCATAATGTCGAAATATACAGGGTGTCCCAAAAAAAAAGACCCCCCCCCAAAAATTTGAGCCAGAGGGCACTTACGGAGCTGAAAATTTGCACAGAGGTAGCGAAGCCAATTTTCTATGAACAAGGAAAGTTTCAGCCCGATCGGCCAGCGGGTTTTAAAGTTATGGCGAAAATACTTTTCATTTTTAATTTAATATGGGGATCTTTGAAATTTGCATCAAAGATATGCGTTATTCTTGCCTTTACAAGCCGATTTTGCATAAATTTCGCTGAAAAGTGCCATTTTCTGGATGGAGCTTTTGGAAAACGATTGCTCATGTAGCGAGAAAATGATCAGCAAGAACGATGAGTACCAGACCTCATGGCGGAAACTATCGTTGAACGTTTGAGCTTCGCTTAAACTTCAGCGTACGTGCCAACATAAGCCCAGATCTAAACTTCGACACTGTTTTCGAGCTTGTCGAACTCGGTTTTTGGGCCTACGAAGCTCAAATTGCCAAAATGTACAATAAGACGTGATTTGGATCGATAAAACAGTTGTTTTAACACTCTTTTTATTTTTCATACGCCATCGTTTTCCAAAAGCTCCATCAAGAAAATGGCACTTTTCAGCGAAATTTATGCAAAATCCGCTTGTAAAGGCAAGAATAACGCATATCTTTGATGCAAATTTCAAAGATCCCCATATTAAATTAAAAGTGAAAAGTATTTTCGCTATAACTTTAAAACCCGCTGGCCGATCGGGCTGAAACTTTCCTTGTTCATAGAAAATTGGCTTCGCTACCTCTGTGCAAATTTTCAGCTCCGTAAGTGCCCTCTGGCTCAAATTTTTGGGGGGGTCTTTTTTTTGGGACACCCTGTATATGCGTGTTTTAGATAATTTAGTATGCCTTAAATGAGCGAGTAACCACCAGAAACCACTCCTTGGCATTGCCACTAGGGGTTCAGCGGAGCTGGTGGCACGTAGCTGGCAGAATTCTCGCTTTTGCGAGCCCCAAGCTTTTGCGATTTCCAGCTCGACGCCACCGACGAGGACGCCACCCCACCAAACAACAAAATCTACTTCACCACCGACGACGACCGCTTCTACATTGACGTCAACGGGAGCATCGTGTACAACGGGTCTGAGCCGTTTTCCAGGGAACAGTGGTTGGAATTTAAGGCGGGAGCTCTTTTGCATAAGCTAATACGTGAATTTTAGGTGTGGGCTCACGACAACGGGGAACCGTCATTGAACTCGTCGACCCTGGTCGCCATCAACGAGCACAAAAACACGATCGGAGGCGCGCTGACGACAAAGCTGAACCGGTAGCGTTTGAAATGGGTATAGAATATCCTTCAGTTTCCAAAATCAACAAACTACTCCATTGCGTTTTAGAACTAATGACGAGCGCACCGAGGTGAGGTGGGCCAACTCCAAGATGCCCGGCTACACGTATGAGATTTTGCGGGCCACGGCTGACGGAATGCCAGGTAGAGCAGGGTGTGGCACGAGATCGAATGGCGCAGGTTTTGAGAGGTCTAACAATAAGCATAAGTCTACGCTTAGGTCCAAGCCGAACCCTAAGAAGAAGACCAGACCACGCCTAAACCTGAGCATGGTCCTAAGCGATACCTTAGCCTTAGCTTATCTTTTTTTTTTAGTTGAACCTTGTGCTCATGATTCCATTGTCTACTTCCAGACGATGAGGTGCTGAAGTGGGTATCGATCGATCGAAAAACCGGCGTTATCCACACGATACGACGGCTCGAGGCCAGCGACGTGAAGGAGATCAAACTTCATATCAGCATGAAGAAGAAGAAAAAAGAGATTCCCGGTAAGTCACTTTGTATTTGAAGATTTAATTGTTAAAGTTCCCTATCAATCTCGTTCATTTAGTGGAACTGATCATCAAAATCGTCGACGCCAACGACAACAGCCCGTTCTTCAAGCGCATCGCCTACAAGGCGAACGTCTCCGAGGAGGCGGCCATCGGGATGCCCATCTTGCAAATCAAGGCCGAGGGGACGGATGTGGAGAATTTATTGCGGTATTTTTTTTAGTGTTCCTTGAAACGTATCGCAACGTCTCAAAGGAGAGGTTGAGGCTAATGCGCCACGTTCTGGATCTATATCTAAAACTGAGTTCAAAGCCAAACGCCGGCCAAAGCCTAAGCCTAGGCCCAGGCCTAAATTTAAGCTAAGCTTAAGCCTAAGCTTAGGTTTAAGCTAATTGTAGCCCTTATCCTACCTAAGCATAAGCATTAGTTTGAACTCCAGCGCAAGCCTAAGCCTAAGCATAAATCCTAAACATAAGCCTATACTATGCTTGGGCCCAATTCTACCCACGCACTCGGCGAACCGCGTAAGTAAACTCCCGTTTCAGCTACTCTTTGACCACCATCTTTCCCGAGACGTCAACCCCACTCGAGATCGATCAGTACGGCACGATACGGACGCGTGAGCCCCTGGACTATGAGCAAGTAAGAATGACGAAAGCAAAGGAAGCAATTATTTACCTTGATTCAGTTTTCCCAAATCGACGGTATCGTCTCGGTCAAAGATTCGCTTGGCCATCTCGCATCAGCGAATTTGACGATCTATATTGATGACGTCAATGACCATCGGTGCGCCGTGAATCCCAGTTTTTAAAAGCTTCTTGCAGGCCGGAATTCCGGAACGGCTCCGTGTTCTCGGTCAATGCCACCGAATCGTTGCCGGTTGGAGCGAGCCTCGCGTTGGAGTATCCATTGGCTACGGATCGGGATGGCGGCAGATTCGGGAAGATTGTCTACTCGATTATTGGTGGGTGCGCTTGGGATTGGCCTTAGGTTTAGGCTTAGGTTGGGCTTTGGCTTAGGCTTAGGCTTAGACTTAGACCTAAGTTTGGGCTTAGGCTTAGGCATGCTTAGGCTTAGGCTTAGGCTTCGGCCTAGACTTAGGCCTCGGCAATCGGGGAGAGGTTGAGCGTAGGCCCAGGAGGTGATATTCTACTTGGCGTGGCTTATGAACTCGCACCGCATCCGGAACTCAACTGAAATCCACACGCCCAATTTGCAGGGGGTGAAAACGACTTTGCCATCAACGAGAAGACGTCAGTCGTCGTGCTCAAGCGGGCCCTGGATTTTGAGACGCAACGCAGCCACTCGTTCACGGTGCGCGCCGTTGACAACGGCGGGAAGAAGCCGTTCCACGAGGTGTTCGCATCGGTTAGTGGAACGGAACATCCAAACAAGTGGGAGGCTTTAGGTTACTGTCTACTTGGGAAGACGCCAACGACCACTCGCCGATCATCCACAACGCCGACCTGACCCATTTGAGCGTTGGGGAAGACGCGAAGAATGGGGATATCGTGGCCATAATCTCGGCTTCGGGTATGGAATTATTAGTTAACGACGTAACTCAAAAAATTAGAATTGTTTCCAAGTTCTAATTGCTAAATTTTGCGGAATTTTTTCGCACTCACAAGGAGTGCTTTTTTTGAGTCATCGGCAAAACCTTACGAGACCTAGCTCATTCGATAGAGAATTCGATTCTGAACAAAACCCCGTTGTTCTTTTTTGCAGAATGGCTATCCCTGAATAAATACTAATATAAATAAATAAATAAATAAATAATAATAAAATACTAGTGACCGTCCCTTACCATGAGTGCCTTTCGAGCCAAAAGAGAGGCTTTTGGGTGCAGTTTTACAATTTTATAAATTCAGGGATAGCCATTCTGCAAAAAAGAACAACGGGGTTTTGTTCAAAATCGAATTCTCTATCGACTGAGCTAGGTCTCGTCAGGTTTTGCAGATGACTCAAAAAAAGCACTCCTTGTCAGGGAATGATGTTGAATGGTGAATGGTGTAAATACTGGAACAACCAGCAGTTAAAGGCGCGTCGGAATCCTTCACCTTCTTCTACCTCTTAGCACGTTCCTCTCTCACTGTAAAGTGTTTTTACCCACAAGGGAAGGTTGTTTGGGCCAGGTGTCAAATCGACTTGAAACTTTGCCAGTGGATAGAAAATCAAAAATAAAGTGGAGTTTCTTAATCTCATTTTTTGCACCATACCCCAAATTAAAAAGTTAAAGGTCTTTGAAGTTACATAAAAAAGCACAAAACGACCCGACAATTCTGATCTGGTCCTCATTGTGGCCTGCCCCCTTTTCAAGCTCTTGAGTCGCCCGAACTGGCAAGCTGTTTGGCGCACTAGGTAGTGCCGTAGAGTGCAAAACTCTTTAAATTTTTTTAATCGAGTTCAAGTCTTTGATGCGTCCAACTTTTTGCTTTTTGGATTTTACGCCAACTAACCCTAATTTGCAAATGCTAAAAGCAAAAAGCAAAAAGATAGAAAAGTTTTAGTCTCGAACTTTTGCCAAAAATTTTTCAAAACATTGTGAGTCAAGCGCACTACCGATTGCGCTAGAAGAGACGTGAGGAGTGGAGGCGAGGGAGTGTCAAGAAATCACACATGAAGAAAATGTGGAAACGGTGCGGTATTGGTGCAAAAGCCTGCGCAGAACTCATTTTTCAGATCACAAACTTAAAATGCTTATAACTTTTTAATTAGGGGTGTTGTGCAGAAAACGACTTAGCGCACCTTGTTCCGTTTTCAATTTTCTATCCACTGGCCAATTTTCAGAAAGATTTGACACCTGACCCAAACAACCTTCCCTTGTCAGGCTGGCGTTTTGGAATGGGACCAAGACTATCTTGTTCAGAATTTTTTGCTGATTCCGAATCCGTTTTCCAAATTTGCTGCGGACTTCGCGTTGAAAAGTCATTTTTGGTCTAAATTAAACTTAAAAACGGCATAAATTCGGATGCTGGCCCACTATTCCCTGCCTGGGTCCAGGTATTGTGGTGCCCGTTATCTACCCTCCCGAAGCCTCCTACCCAGTTGGCACCATGGTGCATCGGTAGGCTGTTCGCTTGCCAGGCACAGGGCGGCGGTTCAATCCCCGCCCTGCACAATTTCTTTTTGCTTTTTGCACAAAAACAAATGATTGTTTGCATACAATTGCGCTTTGACCTCTAAAACCATTACCGAGCCAGTTTTAACCTCGGAGGTGACGACAACTTAAAAAATAACGCAAAAAATCCAGATTTAGTCAATTTTTGTAAACTAAATGTCGAATAACTTTTTTAAATAAAGGTCGGCAGCAAATTTGGAAACCAGATTCGGAATCAGCGAAAAATTCTGCACAAGATAGGCTTGGTCCCATTCTAAAAAGCCAGCCTGAGTAAAAACACTTTACAGTCAGCCATATGCTTAGGCTTTCGGCTTAGGATTATATTAAGGTTTAGCTTAGGCTTAGCTTAGGCTTAATCTTAGAATGACTTCAAGCTTTAGCTTAGGTTTAGGCTGAGCCTGGGACTTAGGCTTAGGCTTGGCTAAACTCAGGCTTGCGTTTAGGATCAGGCGTAGGCCTCGACTTATGATCCGACTTTTGGCCTGAGTTCAGCTTGCTTTTCCGACTTATACCACGCTCCCGAATGGACGTTTTTGTCTCCGCTTTATGTCCCAACACCTTCTTCAGATGCTGACGCTTCCGGCGCGGACCCCGTCCAGATCACTTCCAACCACACGCAATTCCGGGTGGACGAGACCGGGAAGCTGGTCGTCGCCGCTCCATTGAGCGGGTACGCCGGGGAAAAGGTAAGCGGACAAGGCCATCTTATCCACGAACGCAGATCTGCGGCCACTTGACCGCCTCGGACTTGGGCGTGCCGATGCGAAACACGACCGTCCCGTTCTGCATCTCCGTGCAGGGCATACGACAGGCCGATTTGCCCCTGATCGTCTACCCGAAGCCGAATAGGTAACTGGAGAGCTCGGGGGGGGGGGGAATTACACGCGGCTGTTGCGAGATGTGGCACTTTACAGGGTATCGCAAAAAGGACACCTCAGGCGTTCCGCCGTCATCTTGGGTTTTGGACGATTCAGATATTTATCGAAAGCTCTCGACGAGCTGAGAAGATATGTTTTTTCCGATTTTAGAGAACCCCGACCTTTACCCAGATTTTCCTTTCTTCAAATAATCAATTGATCGAAATGAGATCTTTCCCCAAACATCTTAGTGAATGTGAGAAACTTCGGGAATCTTCAAAATAAGAATGGACATATCTCCTCAGCTCGTCGAGAGCCCAGGCCAAGGCGTAGGCGTAGGCTTACAAGGGAAGGGCACTGGACGAAGTGGAATTTCGCAAAACCCTCGCGGCTACCGCCCTGGTAATCGACTATGGAGAATCGATAAGCCTCCGCTGGAAAATCGGAAAACGGCATCGTGTTCTCCATAGTCGATCACCCGGGGGTAGCCGCGAGGGTTTTGCGAAGTTCCACTTCGTCCACGTGCCCTTCCCTTGTTAGACGTAGGCTTAGGCGTGGGATTAGGCTTAGGCTTACAAGGAGTCGTTTTTGGGTGATATTGGAGTTTTTGAACGAGACCTAGCTAGTTCGATAGAGGAAAAAATTCTGAACAAGATGTCGGTTTCCAAATCTGCAAATCTGCAATAAAAATTAATTTTAATGAAAAAATTCCTGAACCTTGGATATGATTCCTTGGATCGCAGATTCCAGGCTGCGACCCATGGATCAGGCCCGGGACATAGGCCGCAATGCGAACCAGCCTCCGCTTCAGATTGTGGCTTAGTGGATAGTGCGAGCGCCTATCAAACTTTTGCAAAATTATGCCCAGGGTTCGGAACTTATTGTGATTTATTGTTTTGCTTTTTGGTTTTTGATGCCATTGAAATCGAATTTGTTATTATCGAGCAAAAGCAAAAGAGTTTTACTAGTGAGGAGTCGAACCCGCTGGCAAAAAAAAGACAAAAACTTATGACGCAAGCGCACTACCAATAGGCCAGCTGGCCATGGCTGGAGGGAGGCGTAAAGGGGGCTATGTTGACGCGCACCCAGAGCGCAGAATCTGCGAATCAGGCGGAAAATGATGGTTAGATTAATGATCTTCAAAATAATTTTTATTGGACAGCGTACACGGTTAGCAGATTTGAAAAACGACATCTTGTTTAGAATTTTTTTCTCTATCGAACTAGCTAGGTCTCGTTCAAAAACCCCAATATCACCCAAAAACGACTCCTTGTTAGGCTTGGGCTTAGGCACCTGAATCGTCAGAATCTGGCACGACTGTGGACCGTTTGAGGATTTTTTTGTCAGACTTTGTATGTTGGTTCAAGGGAAGGGCTAAGGGCTCTGTACCGATATAAGGGATTTCTGCCGATATAAGGGATCACCGCCGATATAAGGGATCACCGCCGATATAAGGGATCGCTGCCGATATTAGGGATCACTGCCGATAAAAGGGATCGGGAAAAACCCGAAAATGGCGGGTACCGATATAAGAGATCACGAAACCGGATTTCGGCCAAAATGTCGATATAAGGGATCAGAAGAAGAATTTTGCGCAATATATTATTACATTGATGTAAAGAGCTATTTATTTAGGTCGATTTCGAAAGAAATTACAGAGAAGTTGATAAAAACTAATGTTTTACGGAGTATTATTCGATTTCAGTATACTGGGGCGGTTGTAAAGCTCGAGCCCAGGGAACTCCAGGGGCCGGGGCCCTAAGAGCTCGGGGCGCTTCCGGAGGTATATTAAAGTTATCATTAACATCAGTTTTGGACTGTTATACTAGTATTAGTGCATTACTACAAGATTTAATAAGCTTTACTAAATGCCGTAGACTGGTGGGGGCCGGAAGGGAAGCTGATTGGAACGCCGAAGAATTGATGGCAGAGGTCGTACTAAAGCAGATAGAGGGAAGGGATCGAGAAGGTAGCTGCAGCACGGAGTTAGTCCATTGGTTTAAATACCAGTCCAATAAGTCCTGGCAGAGAGGTTAACGCGGGAGTCGCAGAAAACTAAATAAGGTGGATGAGGGAAAAGGAAAGGCGGAGGCACCACGATCACGAACTGGCAAAGGCATCGGATTGAACAATGCTCCCGTAAAACATTAGTTTTTATCAACTTCTCTGTAATTTCTTTCGAAATCGACCTAAATAAATAGCTCTTTACATCAATGTAATAATATATCGCGCAAAATTCTTCTTCTGATCCCTTATATCGACATTTTGGCCGAAACCACAGGTTTTCGTGATCCCTTATATCGGTACCCGCCATTTTCGGGTTTTTTCCGATCCCTTATATCGGCGGTGATCCTTTTTATCGGCAGTGATCCCTTTTATCGGCAGTGATCCCTCTATATCGACGGTCCGAGGCCCTGATCCCTTATATCGGCGGTGATCCCTTATATCGGCAGAAATCCTTATATCGGTACAGAGCCG